GGTTTAGGGTGCCTTCATTTTTTGGGGCCTTTTGGGTTTACAGTGACAGGGGAAGCGGAGCAACCCGCGGCCGTGCCCGACCGGGCCGAGGCGACGACACGAAGCATTTACAATGAAAGCAAACCCGTAATTACCCGGAAATGGCAAGGGCATGTGACAATCTTGGACGTGGTGTAGAAACTGAAACTGTTCAGTACTGGTGAATGCCATTGCTGATGCCTCTGAAAGTGTAATAGCACCACTCGTTCCACGACGGCAGTTCCCGCCCTCAACCACAGCTCTTGCGACACTGCGACCGCAAAAGAAACGATGCAAGACTCAAGCCTGCAATGAGCCCTGAACCCTATGCAGAAATCATGCAAAACTCATCCTACAGACATTTGCCACACCCCACACAGATTCTCCGACCTGATGTCCTCAACCACAGCTCGCGTGACACTGGGACCGTCAAGACACGAAATAAGATTCCTGCAAGAATTCAAAGACCCTGGTGGTCTAGGCCTAGGCAGTGCAACTCTGCACCTTTGAAAGTATCTGGCCTGGGAGCCTTGGCCCTTCATGTACTTGCTGTAGTCGCCGCTGTAGGACTCCATGTACTTCTTGTAATCTGAAGCGCCTCCGCCCTGCAAGGCCGAAAGAAGTGCTTGTGTCCGGACGGCTGTCTGCACCAAAACCGACACACCCAAGAAACCACAATCCTTGTATAAGAGGCTGCAGCAAACACCCATCCTAACGACAGTTGTGATCGCCTGCCCGGGCAACTTCCAACACTTCGTCAAGCACAGACCATAAACGACCCACTTTCGGCTGCATCCGTGCTACAGTTTCATGCCCAATGACCATTCACACCTCGACTCCACGCAAATCCTCCAACCCATAAACATCAACCTAGAACCGCGCAAGATTCCAACGAACCCTGAATCCTATGCAGCCCACGTCCGGAACGGAGAACTCAAGCCGCCAAGAATTCAAAAACCCTGGTGGTATGGGCATTCCAACTTTGAAATATTCTGCACGATTGAAACTATCTGGCCTGGGATCCCTGACCCTGAGTGTACTTGGAGTAGTCCATGTACTGCTTGTAGTCGCCGCCGGCACCACCCTGCGAACAAGGCCGACAGAACTGCTTGTGTCCGGACGGCTGTTGGCACCAAGTTTCACAAACCAGACGGCTTTTTCTGAAGTCAGAATGGGTCCATGGTATAGGGTGCTTTCAGTTTAGGAGCTTTTTTGGAGTTTAAGGTTTAGGGTGCTTTGATTCTAAGGGCCCTTTCGGGTTTAGCGCTTAGGTTGCCTTCGCGTCTTTATTTGAAGGGCTGTTCTTCTGCGCCATCTTTTCCGCCTGCTTTGCTGAGCTGGAACGCCGGTGTGGCTGAGGGTTTTTGGGGATTTAGAGTTTTAGGGTGCCGCTTTTTCGGACCTTTCGGGTTTACCGTGACAGCAGAGCAACCTGCGGCCCAGGCGACCGTCATTACCCCGAAATGCAAAATCCGAGGCGGCCAAGCGGATGTTAAAACTATGGATGTGGTGTAGAACTGATCATCACCGGTGAACAGGAACTGCGTTGGGTTTTAGGGTTTCGCGTTTAGGGGTCTCCACCAATGTCGTTGCTGATCGATGTTTGACTCCAATGAGCCCTGAACCCTATGCAGAAATCATGCAAAACTCATCCTACAGACGTTTGCCACACCCCACACAGATTCTCCGACCTGATGTCCTCAACCACAGCTCGCGTGACACTGGGACCGTCAAGACACGAAATAAGATTCCTGCAAGAATTCAAAGACCCTGGTGGTCTAGGCCTAGGCAGTGCAACTCTGCACCTTTGAAAGTATCTGGCCTGGGAGCCTTGGCCCTTCATGTACTTGCTGTAGTCGCCGCTGTAGGACTCCATGTACTTCTTGTAATCTGAAGCGCCTCCGCCCTGCAAGGCCGAAAGAAGTGCTTGTGTCCGGACGGCTGTCTGCACCAAAACCGACACACCCAAGAAACCACAATCCTTGTATAAGAGGCTGCAGCAAACACCCATCCTAACGACAGTTGTGATCGCCTGCCCGGGCAACTTCCAACACGTTGTCAAGTACAGACCATAGACGACACACTTTCGGCTGCATCCGTGCTACAGCTTCATGCCCAATGACCATTCACACCTAGACTCCACGCAAATCCTCCAACCCGAAAATATCAACCATAGCTTTTGCGATCTAGAACCGCGCAAGATTCCAACGAACCCTGAATCCTGCGCAGCCCAAGTCCGGAACGCAAAACTCAAGCCGGCAAAAATTCAGAAGCTCTGGTGGTATAGGCATTCCAACTTTGAAATATTCTGCACATTTGAAACTATCTGGCCTGGGATCCCTGACCCTGAGTGTACTTGGAGTAGTCCATGTACTGCTTGTAGTCGCCGCCGGCACCACCCTGCGAGCAAGGCCGACAGAACTGCTTGTGTCCGGACGGCTGTTGGCGCCAAGTTTCACCAGACGGTTTTTGCTGAAGTCAGAATGGGTCCATGGTATAGGGTGCTTTCAGTTTAGGAGCTCGTTTGGAGTTTAAGGTTTAGGGTGCTTTGATTCTAAGGGCCTTTCGGGTTTAGGGCTTAGGTTGCCTTCGCGTCTTCATTTTAAGGGCTTTTCTTCTGCGCCCTCTTTTCCGCCTGCTTTGTTGAGCTGGAACGCCAGTGTGGCTGAGGGCTTTTTGAGATTTAGAGTTTTAGGGTGCCTTCGCTTTTTCGGACCTTTCGGGTTTACCGTGACAGCGGAGCAACCTGCGGCCCAGGCGACGACATGAAGTGTTTGCAATGAAAACAACACCGTCACTACCCCGAAATGCAAAATCCGAGGCGGCCAAGCGGATGTTAAAACTATGGATGTGGTGTAGAACTGATCATCACCGGTGAACAGGAACTGCGTTGGGTTTTAGGGTTTCGCGTTTAGGGGTCTCCACCAGCAGCATGTCGTTGCTGATCGATGTTTGACTCCAATGAGCCCTGAACCCTATGCAGAAATCATGCAAAACTCATCCTACAGACGTTTGCCACACCCCACACAGATTCTCCGACCTGATGTCCTCAACCACAGCTCGCGTGACACTGGGACCGTCAAGACACGAAATAAGATTCCTGCAAGAATTCAAAGACCCTGGTGGTCTAGGCCTAGGCAGTGCAACTCTGCACCTTTGAAAGTATCTGGCCTGGGAGCCTTGGCCCTTCATGTACTTGCTGTAGTCGCCGCTGTAGGACTCCATGTACTTCTTGTAATCTGAAGCGCCTCCGCCCTGCAAGGCCGAAAGAAGTGCTTGTGTCCGGACGGCTGTCTGCACCAAAACCGACACACCCAAGAAACCACAATCCTTGTATAAGAGGCTGCAGCAAACACCCATCCTAACGACAGTTGTGATCGCCTGCCCGGGCAACTTCCAACACGTTGTCAAGCACAGACCATAGACGACACACTTTCGGCTGCATCCGTGCTACAGTTTCACGCCCAAGACCATTCACTCCTAGACTCCACGCAAATCCTCCAACCCAAAAACATCAACCATAGCTTGGCAACCCTGAATCCTACGCAGCCCAAGTCCGGAACGTTTCAAAAGCCCTGGTGGTCTAGGCATTCCAACTCTGAAATATTCTGCACATTTGAATCTGCTGGTATCTGGCCTGGGATCCCTGACCCTGAGTGTACTTGGAGTAGTCCATGTACTGCTTGTAGTCGCCGCCGGCACCACCCTGCGAACAAGGCCGACAGAACTGCTTGTGTCCGGACGGCTGTTTGCACCAACACAAACCAGACGGCTTTTTCTGAAGTCAGAACGGGTCAAGGGTTTAGGGTGCTTTCAGTCTAGAAGCTCTTTTGGAGTTTAAGGTTTAGGGTGCTTTGATTTTAAGGGCCTTTTGGGCTTAGGGCTTAGGTTGCCTTCGCGTCTTCATTTCAAGGGCTTTTCTTCTGCGCCTTCTTTTCCGCCTGCTTTGTTGAGCTGGAACACCAGTGTGGCTGAGGACTTTTTGGGATTCAGAGTTTTAGCGTGCCTTCGCTTTGTCGGACCTTTTGGGTCTATCGCGACAGCGGAGCAACCTGCGGCCATGCCCGACCGGGCCGAGGCGACGACATGGAGTGTTTACAATGAAGACAACACCGTCATTACCCCGAAATGCAAAATCCGAGGCGGCCAGGCAGATGTTAAAACTATGGATGTGGCGTAGAATCTGATCATCACCGGTGAACAGGAACTGCGTTTGGTTTTAGGGTTTCGCGTTTAGGGGTCTCCACCAATGTCGTTGCTGATCGATGTTTGACTCCAATGAGCCCTGAACCCTATGCAGAAATCATGCAAAACTCATCCTACAGACGTTTGCCACACCCCACACAGATTCTCCGACCTGATGTCCTCAACCACAGCTCGCGTGACACTGGGACCGTCAAGACACGAAATAAGATTCCTGCAAGAATTCAAAGACCCTGGTGGTCTAGGCCTAGGCAGTGCAACTCTGCACCTTTGAAAGTATCTGGCCTGGGAGCCTTGGCCCTTCATGTACTTGCTGTAGTCGCCGCTGTAGGACTCCATGTACTTCTTGTAATCTGAAGCGCCTCCGCCCTGCAAGGCCGAAAGAAGTGCTTGTGTCCGGACGGCTGTCTGCACCAAAACCGACACACCCAAGAAACCACAATCCTTGTATAAGAGGCTGCAGCAAACACCCATCCTAACGACAGTTGTGATCGCCTGCCCGGGCAACTTCCAACACTTCGTCAAGCACAGACCATAAACGACCCACTTTCGGCTGCATCCGTGCTACAGTTTCATGCCCAATGACCATTCACACCTCGACTCCACGCAAATCCTCCAACCCATAAACATCAACCTAGAACCGCGCAAGATTCCAACGAACCCTGAATCCTATGCAGCCCACGTCCGGAACGGAGAACTCAAGCCGGCAAGAATTCAAAAACCCTGGTGGTATGGGCATTCCAACTCTGCAATATTCTGCACATTTGAAACTATCTGGCCTGGGATCCCTGACCCTGAGTGTACTTGGAATAGTCCATGTACTGCTTGTAGTCGCCGCCGGCACCACCCTGCGAACAAGGCCGACAGAACTGCTTGTGTCCGGACGGCTGTTGGCACCAAGTTTCACAAACCAGACGGCTTTTTCTGAAGTCAGAATGGGTCCATGGTATAGGGTGCTTTCAGTTTAGGAGCTTTTTTGGAGTTTAAGGTTTAGGGTGCTTTGATTCTAAGGGCCCTTTCGGGTTTAGCGCTTAGGTTGCCTTCGCGTCTTCATTTCAAGGGCTTTTCTTCTGCGCCATCTTTTCCGTCTGCTTTGTTGAGCTGGAACGCCGGTGTGGCTGAGGGTTTTTTGGGATTTAGAGTTTTAGGGTGCCTTCGCTTCTTCGGACCTTTCGGGTTTACCGTGACAGCGGAGCAACCTGCGGCCCAGGCGACCGTCATTACCCCGAAATGCAAAATCCGAGGCGGCCAGGCAGATGTTAAAACTATGGATGTGGCGTAGAATCTGATCATCACCGGTGAACAGGAACTGCGTTGGGTTTTAGGGTTTCGCGTTTAGGGGTCTCCACCAGCAGCATGTCGTTGCTGATCGATGTTTGACTCCAATGAGCCCTGAACCCTATGCAGAAATCATGCAAAACTCATCCTACAGACGTTTGCCACACCCCACACAGATTCTCCGACCTGATGTCCTCAACCACAGCTCGCGTGACACTGGGACCGTCAAGACACGAAATAAGATTCCTGCAAGAATTCAAAGACCCTGGTGGTCTAGGCCTAGGCAGTGCAACTCTGCACCTTTGAAAGTATCTGGCCTGGGAGCCTTGGCCCTTCATGTACTTGCTGTAGTCGCCGCTGTAGGACTCCATGTACTTCTTGTAATCTGAAGCGCCTCCGCCCTGCAAGGCCGAAAGAAGTGCTTGTGTCCGGACGGCTGTCTGCACCAAAACCGACACACCCAAGAAACCACAATCCTTGTATAAGAGGCTGCAGCAAACACCCATCCTAACGACAGTTGTGATCGCCTGCCCGGGCAACTTCCAACACGTTGTCAAGCACAGACCATAGACGACACACTTTCGGCTGCATCCGTGCTACAGTTTCACGCCCAAGACCATTCACTCCTAGACTCCACGCAAATCCTCCAACCCAAAAACATCAACCATAGCTTGGCAACCCTGAATCCTACGCAGCCCAAGTCCGGAACGTTTCAAAAGCCCTGGTGGTCTAGGCATTCCAACTCTGAAATATTCTGCACATTTGAATCTGCTGGTATCTGGCCTGGGATCCCTGACCCTGAGTGTACTTGGAGTAGTCCATGTACTGCTTGTAGTCGCCGCCGGCACCACCCTGCGAGCAAGGCCGACAGAACTGCTTGTGTCCGGACGGCTGCTTGCATCAAGTTTGACAAACCCAAGCATTTGCTCTGAGAGGCTGCAGCAAACACTCATCCTGAGTACAGACAGTTGTCATCGCCTGCCCCGGCAACTTCCGACAATTCGTGAAGCACAGACCATCGACGACCCGCGTGTTTCGCCACATCGATACAGGACATTTGCGGCAAGGAAGCACAATGTAGCATGCTGGGAAAATTTACATGACATAATATGTCTTGATGCTTTCCCAGTCCCATCATATCTTCAGCAGCAGTCATCGGAGGACCCAAGTTCTGACTCTTGACTGAGGCAAGATGTTTGTCGCGGATCAAAGGTGAAGAGTTATACCCCTGACTCGCAGACCTGGGCCTGTGACCTGCATTCACCTACACACAAAACAAGTAGCAAAATCGAGTTAGATGCAGGGCACAGGCAACCTGGATTTTTTGTTCTGCCGAGCCTGCGAAGCACCCTGTGCGCCTCCGGTGTACTTGGAGTAGTCCATGTACTTTTGGTAGCTGCTGCCCTCCGAGCTGGCGGCCGCGCCACTGCTCTTGTCTGCCGCCTTGTCGCTTGATGCATCCGCAGCCGCGAGACTGACGGGGCCAGATTCCTCTGTCTTGTCCCCTGGCATGTACTTGCCTGCATAGCCACCGGCATATTTTGACATGAACTGATCATAGCCGCCTGATCCGGAAGAGCCATACTTATCCATGTACTGCTGGTAATACTTCTGGTAGCCAGAGCCGCCGGAGCCGCCCATATATCCAGAAGCATACTTGTTGATATAGTTCTGATAGTCTCCTGCATGCTGTCTTTTTGCTCACCACTCATGCCTACAAGGGCCTTGACCTTGTATTTCTCTGCACACCAGCTAGGCGAGTGCCATATGGCACTCGTTTAGCACAACATACCGACAGCCTCTTGCAAGCTTGCATGCTGAAACTGAAAACTGGGACAGGTTTGGCTGCACTTTCCGGCTGCTGAAAGAGCCATGCAGCTTTGCAGATATCTGATTCAGATGATTCATGCCTTACCTGACTCCCGAACCTTGAGCAGCAAGTCTCGCCGGAAGCAGAAACGCAAGAAGCGTCCACACGGCCATGATCGGTGAACAGCAAAGTGTCTGCCGAGCTTGAGCAAAATTGTATCTCTGCAGAGGGAAAACGGGAGATGCCCAGGACAAGGAACTGGAAAGACTTGTTTTAAAGCTGCCGGGCTGTTCATGACTTCACGCGGCAGAGGCAAACGGCGCCTTCTGAAAGCTCTTCATGTCGTGACTACCTGGGTTCATGCGTTCAGGAGAATCTCCAGACAGAAAGAACACTGTTGAGCACTTTCGCTGGGCCCTCGAGGTTTGCGACCGTGCTTTGTTCTCGTGCAGTATTTCGTGTCACATTAGGCAAGCTGCAAGGCTGGAATGTCTGTGCAGCTCTGGCATGCAAGTGCGATGCTTTAAAGTTTGCTTGGTGCGCCACCTATATCGCTGGACACCGTGGTCGGGCTTGGCCGTGTCAAGGGGCCGGTCCTTCCCGAGTGTTCGTAGTGATCGAAGTAGCACCCATTGAAAGTATTCGGACGCTCATCGTTTGGATCGAACTGAGGGTCAAGCCGCAGCTCCAAAGCCGTTTCGAGCAGAGCGAAGTCTGCGCTTGCCAGGCCTTGCAACAGGCATCGGAAAACATTGTGCAGGCGGACCTATTTCCAACTGTCACCTAATCAGTTCGCGAAGACAAGAAGGGACCATAACCTGGACCTGTGCCATCTATCTTTCAATGCTGTCTGCCAGGGATCCGGCCCGCAACTGGCCCCAGGTACAGCCGGTCCACCAAAGCCTAACGAGCAGATGCTTCGTGTCATGAGGCCTGGAGTGCCGAGCTCGTGTATTCATGATTTGCGAGAAGAGTGAGCCTCCAGGCTGGACGCTGCCACAGCTCCCAGCGCCAACTCTACAGCATCCAGGCCGCCAAAGCCCTGGAGTTAACACATGTTAACACAAAAGCGAAAAAACATGTCAAAACGGCTTGTAACATGCTACCACGGACAAGGGGGTCCCAGAATGTCGAGGTGCCGGATGAGGAATCTGCTCCGAGAAGTACCTGTCCAAAGCTTCCGAACCTGGCGGCTTTACGGGTCCGCTGGGCAGCCCTCCCAACTTCAGACGTAGAAAAGGCGCCTGCGGCAAGGACTGCGCGGTGCGCGAGAGCTTGGCCCTGTCCTGTTGTCAAGACCTTTGCAAGCCAAAGACTTTGGAGGAAAAGACTGCAGTAGAATTCAAAGTCGCAAGTCTTCAGGGTCTGAAGAGATTATTGTCTGTCACTCGCCTGCAGTGATTCCACGACAAACACCCGAGGATGCCGCAACAGACTCGATTTCACTATTCCAGCCCGAACCAATCCCAAAATGCAAGGTGCAGTCGCCCTCTACGTCCACTGCTCGCCTTCTGGCTCGGCTTACGGACACTTCGAGCGCCGTGCGGTGTCGCAGAAAATGCACTGGCGCCGCAGTGTCGACAGTCTCCTGGAGGTTTGCTCAACAGGAGAAGCATTCTTTGTGCCTCTCACTGTATTCCGTGTCAAAGACTCGTCTGCACTGTATAGTACGTGCGGCTTAACGCGGGGACAAACACGGTTCCCCTGCAAACCCCTGCAATTCTTTGATTACAAGCCTAGATCATGATCATGATCTTAAAGCGCAACGGACACCTTGCCAGCCGCAGCGATGGCAGCTCCGAAGAGGGAGACGGTCCGAGGGCCTTCGGCTTTCGACGTGGAACGCGAACAGACAGACGAAACCTTGGAGCCCGGGGCTCGGACCTCAAAAAGCTGCATGGCTTCTCTGCGGCTGCCTTCACAACCTTCTGGCTTCGAGCTGCAACCAGCCCATGAAGATCGGCCCTTTAGGACTCCATGATGCGTTCATGATCCAACCTGCAGACAAGCTCCCCCAAAGCGGCGGGAGGGCGTCATGAATTTCATGTTGCGCCTTGAAGGAGGGCGGCAAGCTGATCAGCAGTCGTGGCACCGTAGATGTGGTCGATGAGCAGCCGAAGAAGCTCTGGCCTGTGAAATGCCGGCACAACCGTGCATGTGCTTATGTGCTCTTCAGGGAAATACTACCAGAGCGACAGCGGGGAGGAGAACACGCCTCGCACAGTGCGGGAACCGCAATTCGGCAGGAGGTTGCGCTTCAATCTTGCCAGCGCTACCTAGCCAAGATGAGGCACAGTAGACGAGCAAAGCCAACCAAGGTCACGAATGGACGGACATTGGATCGTGCCTTGCCACCGACCACCTCCTTCACTCTGCAGTGCCTGCGATGGGCCACGGCAAACTTTCCATTCAATGTAACGTAACCGTTTTCGGCACACAGTCGAGCAGCGCCTGCTGCCATGCAGAGCTTGCTGTGGCCAGGACAGCACGGTGAGCTTCTATCCTGCATGCGTTGCTGCGATGCGGATATGGCAGGTCACAGCTCAAGCTTCATTCGAGAACACGTGCCAGAAGAGTCGAATTTGTCCGATAGACGGTGAAATGACACGCCTGGTGTCAGCAGCAACAAGCACGACATCACCTTGGATGCGCCTGATGCGCACAGCAGGGATCTCGAAAAGAATACCAAAAACAACACATCTTTGCTGTCTGAGCGACAGTACTTGCCCTCGGCACGAAGATGACGAAGACGCTGCGCGAGATAGTTGCAGGCCTTTGCTTTGCCATCCGACTCAAACCGCTTCAGAAGCGGTTTCGGCTGCGGAAAGCCGAGCGGCGTCAAGCACAGCAGCGTCCTGCACAGGCGCCATTGGCCTTGTAGCATGCGCCCCGAAGTGCTCCAGCATCTTCGCACTCGTTCTGCTGCGCAGAATCGCTTACTGCTTGTATGCTGCAGCGCATTTACGGATGCAAGGTGATGCAAGAACATGTTCGACGGCGGCTTGGGCCAGAAGCGTGCTGCGTGACTCTGAGCATTGATACAATTGGCCTGGAACACATTTGGTACATGCTGGCTCGCTCTAAAGGCTCCCTTGTGCAGCCTCCCAGTATCCTGCACCTGCTGCACGTACCTGCAATTGCACGGTTGCAGCTCGCTTTGCAAACTCTGGGGACATCCGGGCAGCCAGTTCGCGTGCCTTGCCCCATAGGGAGGACAAGCCTTCTTGCGCTGCCTTCACAGAGCTGGAAAGACTACAGGGCCACGGGCCGCACCAAATCGAACTTGAAAAGCTTTGGCATTGGCGTTCACAGCGCTGTCAAGGTCCAGTGCACCTGCGAGGCAGTAACACAACTAAAAAACTGCGACGCCTTCCGATCCTGGCACCGTTCGTTGCGACTCATAAACGTAAGTCACAACAGAACCGTTTCCCACCATGCACCGCAAGCACATTTGATTTGAGCAGTCTGCGAAGCCTGTTCATGATGTGTTCAGTGTTCACATGGGGTCGAGGTCCTAACTTCTGCTCTTTCCCGTCTTCCCCCCCATGTGCAAGTGCCCAAGCAGGCATGAAGGAATGTCCGGCGCCGAGGAAATTGGTCGGGACCCCTTTGGCAACCAAAGAGTTAGTTCGCAGACATCATCCCACTTTGGTTTTTTGCTACCCGTCATTAGAATTGATGTCGCAAAGTTCTGCATCCCGAGGAAGTTGAACCCTATTCGCCGTAATCCTTCACACTTATTCTTTGCAATGGATTGTGCAAGCTGTGAGAGATCAAAATATTCAAGTTCCCCGCAGGTTCAGTTTTCGTATGCAGGCATGCATGCGGCCAGCCTTCCCCATATAGTTGTATCACACGTTCCACACAAACGCTTGGCCGGGCCTTCTGCGGAGTGTACAGATGATCGAGGCGGGTATGGGGCACCCGAATCTGGACCCTCACGGCGTTGCTTGACCGGCACATGTCTCAAGGTGAAGTGAGTTTCCAATAGAAGATATCAAACATGAGTGCTGCCGGCACATCTGGGGGCAATGCGTGTCGCCTCTGAAATGCACATACAGCGTACCTGGGCTGGATGCCAAAACCAAGAGGTTCCGATGGCTGGCACAAGCTTTCGGCGTCCTTTCAGAACCCACACACTTCGGTTCCAAAGGGCCTTACTAGGCCTTACAGGTTTCCCTACGATGGACCGCTACAACCGAGGCCAGCACGCTGTGCTCAGGATTGTGTCGAAGTCCAGTGTCTGTGGCCTTGGGTTCGGTTCGCTGGAGGTCTCGTGTTCTGGGACTGCTATCATCTCCGTCATGGAGCAGGCTATAACCCGAGTATTTAATCTCCACAATGCTTTTTGATTTGTGACAGTGCGTCAACAACTGAGTCATTGGACGGAAAGCAACTGCACAAACAACCTGTCAACCTGTTTCAAACTGCGGTCCCCTCCTCCGAGCTGAGTTTCGGGCGCTGTCACCAGGCTCTCTGCCAAGCCGCCCACATCGTCACGCTGCACAGGGACGCTCAGGCACTCAGGCATGGAGAATGCGATCAATTAACAATCTCTGTGTGCTGTGCGCATGCACATTTGCGGGCGGTGGATAGGGGAGCTGAGGCTGCGTTTGCGGGTGCAAGACTTCACGCGCTGCAGGCGCCGAATCCACGGCAGTTTGCCGATGAAGAACCTTCCAGAGTCTCCCAGCCTGGAGAAGATCGCCTCTTCTCAGCAGTAGGAGAGCGATGACGATGTTGTCGGCAAACTGAGCATGGCTGGCTCTTGCGGCTACCGTCAGGCGGTTCCTAAACTGCTGGACAATTTTGCAGCTCAGCTCTGTGTTCAGCCTGAAACCGTCGAGGGTCTGCCAATATGCTGTCCCAAAGGCGTGCCTCCAGCCGGAGGAGAATTGGAGCAAGAGGAGGTCCAAAAACACACTGCGAATGATGGTAATGATGTGCGAAGTCAGTACATGCGCAGAGATCCTGTCGGTGCCGAGGTTCCCGCCGCTTGCAGCAGAGAGAAGCCAGCACGGCAGAGAAGCAAAGCCCCAAGCCTGGCCAGCGTCAAACATTTTTGTCGCTGGCTTCGGCAGTGATCCCGTGGCCGTGGCCTTAACGCAGGCATCGCCACAAGACCATGATCCTCCAACAACTTGGCCACCTCAGGATGGTAACGCATCGTTGGAGACCCCAGCCCCGAAATCCATGCTCTTCTTTGACGTGCTTGCACATGCAAGTAGAAAGGAGGGGACTGGATAGTCAAAACAGCGGTGCAGGATGAGGAGTCGTCTTGCCTCGCCAAAAGCGATCTAGCAACAGAAAGCCACTTCACCTGCAGGAACCACTTCGAGTGCCGCGTGCCTGTGCTGCCAGCGCATCATCTCCAAGGATGGTCTCCTTCAGCGGCGCGGCGATGGGAAGCCACACTGTCCGAAGGCGTTCCTGACATCTTCGCTTCCTGCGCGTCTGCCAGAAGTTGCGAGAGGCACCAGAAGGCATCAGCCTGCTGCGAGTTACGAGTACCATGCTGCTGCCACTGTCGGGAGATGTCGCGAAAGCTCGCCTCTCCGTCTTCGAGCTGCGCCCGCTGCATCCCGGAGCTCAGAGCAAAGACCAGCCTTCGATCGCCAGAAGAGAATCGCAGTGCATGGGCTGAGCTTGTCAACACGGTGCAAGTTGCTGACGATCTGTAGTGGCAACACTTATCTGCCGGGGGTGTCAGCCGTTTGGCCGTATGGCATTGCACCTGACTCTAGCTGTCATCAAAACCTTAGGGAAATTCAAAACAAGAACCTCTAAGTCCAAGTTCAGGGACAGACTGCGCTGACCGCAGCCCTGCCCCGCAAATCTGTAGCCCCTGCTTCTTACCGCAGCCAAGAAGCAGCCCTGCGATCTCACAGGCGCCCTTGACACACCTGCGGCCAAGACATGAGAACTGTCTGAGACCCAGGAATCTCTATCGGTCTTAGTGCAGCTCTGCGCGAGGACTGCGCTGGAACCTCGACACTCGCCAAGAGTATGTGAGGGCGACCTGGCTGCTGCGCAGGCTTTCGTCAGCTCAAGGCAGCTGCTAGAACACGCTTTTTTGGGGGGTTAAGGGGTTGCGAAGACAGAAGCGCAGGTACACCCTACAGTATCCCTCTCTCGCGGATCATGTCGTCCTGTGAAGCAAGCTGGATCGGCCAAAACAGCTGCTCTCGCCGCCTGGTCGAAAGGTCAACTCACTCTTCAGGAAACACACCAGATCCGGTAATAGGTTGAGGCTTGCTGCCCTCCTAACCTCCTTACATGTACATTACATATTATAGATACTGTACCAGTATCAATATAGTTGTCAAAACTAGGGTCCCTATTATAATACGGCACCTATTATTTAGGCTTAGGGTACCCAAAAAGGGACTATAATTTCGACCCCCCCCCCCCCCCCCCCCGATATCACATGCAGCCGCAGAGAAGCCTCAGTTCGCGAGAACGTCTCTTCGGGCCAGGCGCTTCGGAGATCATCCTCGACCTCCGGGAGCAGAGGGTTTTAGGGTTTTAGGGTTTTAAGGTTTTAGGGTTTAGGGGTTCAGAGTATCAGAGTATCTGGGGGTGTCCCAAAATAGGGGGTACCTTATTTTGGGGCCCTTATAATAAGGATCCTACTATTTAGGGTACTAGATTAGGGTCCCCTATGTTCGGAAACTCCCATCTGCAGTTTGCAAGGTGCCGCAGCTTTTGAAGCTTGCCTCTTTTCTCCAGTCCTTCAGCCAGGATGAAGAAGAGCTCGACGGGGTGGTCTCCTCAATTGGTAAGGTTTCTTCTTTGCGGTGCTGCTGTCCACGACAGACATACCTGCACAAACCACCATGCACATCCGCACCTTTCTTCCCGCACGTCGTTGCCCCATCTTTGGCATCCGTCCGGATCGTGCGAGACATGGGTGAGAAGGGGAGGCATAGCTGTGCTTCACGTATTCTGGAAGCACGAATAAAACAAGACATTCCTGAACGCACACAGAGAAAAACAGCAAATCTTGCAGAAGGTCAGACCTCGTCTCGAAATCAAACTTTACAAACCTTGTCAGAGATGCTCTGCCTGAATTGCTGTTGGAAAGCCATGTCTTCGTCAGTGATGGAAGAGGTGCTTGAAGAAGTTCTGTCAGGACGGAAGATCGAGGACTTGCGAACAACTTGCAGCCCTGGTCCTGGTGCCTTGATGTTGTTGAAGAGCCCTCCGCCTCCACATCCCTTCCCTGAGGCCGCCATGAAGCTGTTCCGAGAACATGGAAACTGCAAAGACCCCAAAGGACCCACATTCACCGCATGCCCGCCTTCTGCCGTGCAAGTGTCCTGCCAGTATGAGTACTGGGTCTGTATCCTCCAGACTTGACGCCAAGATCCACTGTGCCGCCGGCCTGGAGGCGATTGATGACCTGGATCTGCTTCTGTGCGGCAGTGTCGTAGACCCTTCGGGGGAAAGAGTCTGGACTGCAAGTGAATGCTGAACGTCATCCTGGCCCTCTCTGGGGGAAGCCTCAAAAGGTTCGCGGAGGTCTCCAAGCCTGTGCACCAAGTCCGGACCCGTCGAGGAAGTCGCTGCACCCGTGCGAAGAGCGGGAAAACGGACAAGCTCAATTTTCCGGCACACCCTGCCTCGCTTCCTCATTTGTGCCACTGCCTAGCGAGGGCCCCGGTTTCGCGTCAAATGCAAGCAACAATAGGCCAAACCCCCGTCTGGAGCAGTTCCTTTAACAAAGCCAATTCTGAAGGTGTGAGCAAAGCACCGTCGCCTGCACTACCTCTTCTGTGAGGCCGGCTGGAAGCTTCTTGGCAAGCGCCTGGAACTTCTCGTCCACCAGCTGAGGCAGATACAACGGCACCAAGTTGTCTGATTCGACCCTACGCAATGCACCTGGAAGAAGTCGTCGAACTGCTTAGTGACGCTGGTGACCTCGGGTAAAGCTCCATACAGGCCCCTGTTTGACGCAAGTTGTCCATGTCCCTTGCAAGTTCCGGGCTCTGTCAGTGGCCTGGCTGAGCGTTGCGTTCAGCTTGAGCACGGCGCATGATGCAGAGTCTGCCTGGCGGAAGAAAGATCCTATGTCATCCTCAGCACCACTTGCAAATTCCCTAGATCAAGGTACCTTCCGGGATTCCTCATTACAAAAGTGATGTGAGGGATACAAAGACGGACCACAATGCAGAGAACGACGCATGTGGATGCGACCGGGGAGCAGTTACTGAACGGGCGTCCTGCACAGGTGTCACGTAGTTGCGCTAAGGCAGCTCGCACCGCAGGCGAGCAAGTCTTGCAGATTGAATTCGCAGCAGCTGCCTGGTTTTTTCTATCAGGCCAAGCAGTTGGTCGTCCTTGGCCACGGCCAATGTCATGTCTGCCGCATTGTCGATTCCGGCCAGCAAACCCACGAGCCTGCGTAGCATCTAAGTCTCAACAGGCAGAAGGCACAGAGGTTGCGGAAAAGAACCTGTAGGTCTGCACAGAGACAGGGTCTGATAAACTGGGAAAGTTGCATGTTGAAACCAAGATAGATCCAGGACGTCTTGCATCATGAGGCTGAAACGAACCCAAATCTGATTCGTTGGCTGAGCTGAGCACGTACTGTTAAGCTTGATGGCCGTGTCCTGGGAAGCTGGCTTTACAGCAGTTAAGGGCATTAACTGCTTCAACTTCTTCAGGTTCTGGTGACAGCCGAGAAGCTGTTTGGCCCACTGTCGACAGGGTCCCTACGGCGATGTGCTGAAGTCGGATGGCCTGTCCGTCGTAGTGAGACACTCACGCTCGATACATGCTCCTACGAAGTGACTGGGCGCCTGCTGCTTGTACTCGCGCCAAAAGACCTCCGGTTGCAGGTCCAGGCCAAGGAAATTCAACCGTGATCCCTGGACTTGGACTTGCAGCCCCAATCGTCTTCAAAGATCGGCGGTTGCTTCACAGCCGGGGGGCGCGGCATTTGTCCATCACTGATGCTACCTGACAAGAGGCCCGGCCCCCGAATGAAGCCTCTGCCTCTTTGCAAAGCTTCGCTGCTTCGCTTCTGCGAGCCGGCCTTCTTCTTCACGATCTCGACCTGCTCTTGGATGGTCATGTTGGCATGATTCACGAACTTCGTCTCGGCCTCCTGCAGCTTTGGATTTGCTGGGTGGCTCCATTCTGCCCATTTCGATCCTGCTCTGAGCCTTTGTAGGCTCCGACTGCAATTTCAGATCGGGTTTCGGTCCTCTGCATCCGCTGCAAATTTGTTGACGGCCTGGCACACCCACACTCCTTGCAATGCGAACCTCCCTCAACCACGAAATCTGCGGGAGCGAGCATTGAAGCCTTGTCGAAGTCATCCAGAGCAGCGTCCGACTGCGACCTTGAACTGTCTAATTTGCAGCCGCAAAGGCGCCACCATGTGCTGATCGATTCGCGGATCATCTCGCTTTGCAACAGTCGTCTATGGTCTTCGGACCTTGTGGTCTTACACAGGGCTCCCCGGCACGATGGTGTCCAGGACTGTCTTCTGCACGTCCCCCACATTCTGCTCGGCTTTGTGCAGCATTCCTTGTCGGCGAGATGGCCGAGCAAAAGGATAGGATCCTTTCCGATCCCGCTTTGCCTACGAAGGCGTGTTCAAGCTCCGAGGCTCCTCCCAGCGTGTCCCAAATGCCCCGGTCAACATCGCCCTCTTGGAAGAGCCCCACCTGTCAGTCTCAAACTCTTCGGGCACCCGACGACTTGGCAACCTCCCGGTGCCGAGCCTCGGGTTCCGCCGAGCTGGGCCTTAGACTAGACAGTCCAAGCAATGGGACACTCATTTCCGATAAGCTCAACCTCTCCAAACCATGCTACACTGCGCAGTCTTGCTCCAAGGCGCGTAAGGACACGTGTCTGCAACAGGCTCATTTTGAGCAAATCAGCCTTCCAGCAAGTTGGAGCACGCACCAGCTCGTGCAGAGGTTGAAAACTTCGTGCTAGCCACATGCCCTAAGGATGCACATTACAAGGGAGCTACAAAAACCGTTCCATTCTACAGGCGCAGGCGGCTTCACGAGTACGAGGTTTCAGGATAAGCAAGAATGTTGTGTTGCTTGTCGTGGTCCTCGACATCGCCATTGTCTGCAGACCAGAGGAGATCCTCATGAAACCGAGCTGCTCTTTAGCTGACTTTTGCAGTAAGCACCTGGGACCTCCTTCCTACACTGACACTGACACCTTGGCGGGACGGGAGCAATGACTTGCAGTTGGGCATCGCTGTCGCAGTCTTGCGCTGCTTCTACGCCAAGTTGGAGGGCAATGAGGCAACCTGAGGCTTGAAGCTCAGAGACATTATCAGCTGTGACGGTCATCAAGCAGGGCCATCACAGACCCAAAATCTCACAAACCGCGAGCTGCCGCAAAGGTGCCAACATGTCTCCACTTCATGTGAGATCTGTTGGATCTGTTCGTTGGAATCCTGTGCAGCAGGCATCGTGAGGAGCAGAATGGCAGCACGGGGGACTAAGGCCCTAGCTCAGTGTCAGAGACTGTAAATGAATCCTCAGCACCGCATGTCCCGTGTAAATTGTTGCTGCACCAGTGCGCCCCAAAGGAAGGAAGGAAGTGCAGAAAGTGCTCATGGTTTGCATCTTGATGTGTCGCTGACATACCGAGTCGCAATGCGAGGGCACAGGGCTTCCTCCCTCGCAGCAGGCAAATCTCCCGAGCCGAGAAGCAAAGGGAATACAAGTTCGAACGCTGACAGCCTTGTCTGCTGGTCGCATGCAGGACTGCAGTGTGAAATTGGAGGCTGCCCAGCTTGCCGCTTGCCACTGCGCAAGCCCTACTGACGTAAACAGAAAAAAACCGCGCAGGCGCATGTGCTCCTGCTGTTCCACTGCCGGCGCTTCAAGATCTGTCAACATCTTGGAAGGCGGGGGCACTGTTCAATCTCTTTGTCCTCTCCCACTCGCAGCTCTCTTACTTAGCAGCACAGTAGTGAGGCAACGACCCTGGAACGCAACTCTCGGTAGGCACCACGCCTGGATACAGCGCTGAGTATTCAAATCAACCACGAGCCATGAATTCTGATCAAACACAACCATGGTGAATGGGACCTCTCACGTAGAGTCGGCTCATCCTCAACGGTCCTGGAGAACGAAGCTTTTCGCTGACAGTCTGCCGCTCCAAGGGCACAGTCATGATCGTGATTCTGGTTGCTCTGTTGCACCGATGAAGCCCTGGGTGTGGCCCCACTGTCTTCTGTATCTATCTGAAAAGCACTCGTTGCTCCCGCTGCCCAGGAGTGCTCGCCATAGGGCAGGGCGTTCGGTGCGAGAACCTCATAAAAGCAGCATTTCCAGACCTTTGTGACAGAGGCGGAGCTCCTGGGATCCGCGCTGCCGTGGCGGAAGGCGACGGCCGCAGCAGTGACCGAGTCCCCATCCTCAGAAATCATGGCACTTCTGGCGCAAGGCCGAGGTGGACTGCCCTCGACGCCCTCCGAGGTGCCTCCATCGAAGCCCTCAGTGCCGAGCTTTTCTCCACCTGCAAAACAAGGCCCTAGCTGGCAGATGTGGGGTGAAACACCCGGCCTCTCCAACATCTCCACTAAGTTCGTCCAGCACGCGCTGCCTGTCGACAGAGCCGAAATCGATCATCAGCTGGGGCCTCGGCAGCTGTGCAGCTTCGCCACGCTGTTGACGGCACTTCGTGGCAGTCCCACTGCACCTTGGGCTGTTGCAGCTGCGCACAAAAGCCAGGGAAGAGCATGAAGAAAAATCACAGGGGCATCCTAAGAGTTCGCCGGGCGTTGGCGTGAGCTCGAGATCCAAGGCAGGCGCCGCGATTCGACTGTCCAAGGTGCTGGCGAGCCACCTGTCGTAAACACGTTACACTCCACTACATCTAGCAGGCGGCATGAACTGTGTACCTCTCTGACGATAATCATGCCAAGAGTGGCTGTACTGCGGTTGCAGGTGGCAAGGCGTACCTGGACAAAGTGTGTAACAAACTGCTGCGCAGCATGAGGCCGCACAAAAGCTCCGGGGCACTTCACTCCAAGCTGTGCCCAAAGCTCCACGACCTCTCCAAGCCGTGCAAAGTTAGGAAATTGGTGTCCTTTCGCCATGTCTCAGACCAAGGCCCTCCCTTCCGCATAGCGCTCGACAATCCGGTCGAGATTGCTGAGCTTGTCTTAGCAGGTCCAGTGCCGCACAGGAAATCAAGGACGGGGGGGAGAAAGGGAGGGAGAATCTAAGGAACGACCGTGCGATGCATGCAATGCATGCCCTGGCCCGAATGATGCACTTCCCGGACGCGTGACGAGTGTTTTCAGCACAGCGAGGTGTGCGGCGGTGTATCAGTGACTACAACGGTCGTGCACCCTTACCTCTAGCCAAGGGGCAAAATTCTCCTTGAGACCTACCACACTACACAATGATAGGCCTCTGAAACTCTCCGCTCATGGTCTGCTCAGCGCTTTGAGGACAGTGTCCGTGAGAGCCAGTCCAAACCCTCGTACAGACCGTCTCCCGTGGTGGCACAGGCGGATTGGATGAACCACTGGCGATGGCGCAGGTTGTGCAGCCCGAGCTTCTCAGTGACCTCCGCCGCAGTCATTGCATTGGGCAGGTCCTGGCGGGACATCCCTGCAGCGTAGCCCATGTCACATCCGAGGTCTTGTTACATCCCTGCAGCGTAGGCCATGTCACATCCGAGGTCTTGTTCATGTCACTGCTTCATCAACCTACTCCGAAAAATCGTGCCTGCTTGTTGGCGAAGACCAACAGCACAGCATCGCGCATCTCGTCTTCGTTCAACATTTTGTTGAGCTCTTCTCGGGCATCTTCGATGCGGTCCCGGTCATTGCTGTCAACCACGTAAATCAGGCCGTTTGTGCCCTGGTAGTAGTGGCGCCACAGCGGGCGAATCTTGTCCTGGCCTCCGACATCCCAGACCTTAGAATCGCGACGAGTGCTGGGCATATTCGATAGTGATTTTGGCCCGCAGGCTCTACTCGCTTCGGCTGGACTTCATTGCGAGACAGGCAATGCACTGATTGTTGTTACCCACATCGCCTTCGAGACTTCGCAAATAAGCTTCCGACAGTGAAGGACAGATTCTTGTACCTTGCCGGCGCAAGCAGACGGTTGCACAGTCAGAACATGAGGTGCTGAAGAACATGTGAAGGCCGAGAGTTACTGTTCGCGCAAAGGTGCTCAACGGTCTCCACGTTGAACCCAATGGTTGGGATCCTTGGCAGCAGACCCACGTCTGCGGAAGTCTTGAGTGATGCTTGGCCAATGAGATAGACTGGATCCCAGCTATATCGAATCGAAGGCTCGTGGTGACCACCTCCCCCAGCTTAAGCTTGTAGAGGATGGTGGTCTTACCGGCCGCATCCAGGCCGACCATCAAAATGCGCATCTCCTGCTTCCCAATGAGGCGCTGCCATATCTTCGTGAAGGCGAGACCCATGGCTCTGGGGCGTCTTGTCCCAGCCAAGCGGAAGGAATACTCCGGAGAGGAACTCTTGCACCGAAAGGAACGCAAGCATGACCCGGTACCACGGCGAATTCAACAATGGTAGACCTTCACATCCTAGAACAGCCCAGAGTCCATCTACGAAAGCACCGGCAATTCTTGGGTCCCTGGATGTGAGCTCACGGCCAGTCTTTCGCGAGGCGTAGAACTTTGTCAACGCCAGTCGCAGCCGCGCCTGGAACTTGCCCACATCTTCGCTGGTTGAAAGAAAAACGATAGGTGCCGCAATGCAGGACCTCTCTTCAGATAGCACATCTGCAGCTGCAGATTGGGCGCTGCATAATCACAAGCAGTCCGATGCTCGCGACTTTTCGGGCAAGCGCCCAGTCAAGCCGTGTCTATTCTTGTGACGCATGGCTTCTCATTTCTTGCCTGGCCAGCACGTTGACGGACGGTCGGGCTTGAAAAAGCAAATCTGAACGCGAACTGAAGTTGCGTTGCTTCCGAGGGGCATCTTTGCAGCCACATACTCGCCTGAATGAAACGTCAATGCCAGCTACCGAACGCGGACTACGACTGGCGAACCACATATAATCGGACACTACGCTCTCCATCCAATGCTGCTTGGAGACCGCATGTGGTTTTCAGGTACCTTGTGCAAGCTCCCAATCCAAGAGCTGATGGCTAGAAGGGCTAGAAAAGAACAGCAAACCATGAGACCCCTACCGTCGTACAGGTATTCAGTCCACCAATCTGCGGCTATCGGGCTTCGCCGTCGCTCTTCCTTCGAATTCCTACAAGCATTCATCAACTGAAGTCGTCCCAGTTGCTTGCGGGGACGCTCGCTGTCCACGCAGGTGGCCAGACATTCCACCTCTGCTTCCTGCTGCAGAGGGAAGTTGTGCCGTTGTGGGCTCACAGGTTGTGTTCTTTCACAAGTTTTCCCAGGTAAAGAGTCATCGGGTCACCATCCTGGTCGGGCAGGGGAGTCTCTTCTGCCATCCGTCGGGCTGCAGTTGATCCCGTTGCTCTTTTCCCAGTGTTCCGAGTTCGCATCGTATAATCTGGCACCTTCTCCTAGGAGTCTAGTGAGGTGCGCTCTAATTTAAGCCCAGAACTTCCTGGCCTCATCCATGTTGTTGAAGAAGATGACACTCCAGCGCGGGGCCGTAGAGGCGTTCAACACGCGATGTATAGAGCTTCGAAACACATCGTTGGTCCTGCATTGGTCTCGAATTTTCTCCATCTTTCTTGCCTGCTTTCTCTCACTCTGTCGCCTGCTTTCTGCGTCAGTCATTTCCGGACTGGGCTGCTGCACACATGTCGAATCTTGCTCAATGGCTCGGCAACAATGTCTGCTCTGCGAAGGCGTCCATCTCTGTGCCAGATCGCCGAGATTTGCCACAGGGGTGTACCTCGTTCTCTGGACTTTGTGGGGACCGCCATGTTTTGTCGAGACCCTAGGGCCCTAGGCTTTGCAGTTACAAGACTCACATCGCGGCACGAATGTCCGTCGAGGCTCCGGTCAGTCTTCACAGAAAGCCAGGATCCATCCGGCTTTTGTACCTGCAAACCTGTGGAGACGCAAAGCGAGCTTTTGCAAAGCACGTTATCAGATGCCACGCTCCCAAAGTTGAAGTAGCTGAGCAGCCTTGGGCTTCCGCCGAGTCTTGGCAAACCAAAGTCAAGAATCCACAGTCCTCAGGGAAAAAGTCTGCCATGCATGCATCGCCTGCCTGCTGGTCTGAAAGAGCTTCCTGGCACCTTCTAGAATTTGAGCTGACGCAGGACAACGAGCAGCTTGCCCAATACACCGACGTTCTCTTCTCGTTGCAGCCCTGCTACGGTGTGTGCACCGCAAGACGAGTCTCCTGAGCCCGCATGGAAGAGATGCGCCGAGCAGAAAAGCGACAACTGACTGGCAGACCCCGTTTCAGTGCACGTTCTGAAAAAAGCTTTCCTTTGCCACTCCATCCTCTAAACCAAAACAACGCCACGAGACTTGTCTGCCAAGAGGCCATCTCCGGCAGGCGGATAGTAAGCGAGGAGCACCTGGCCAGGCCAGTCATCGAAAAAAACTTGGCAAGACGCGAGTCCTTTCGGAGCCCTGCCTTTGCAATTGGTTTCTGAAATGCACAGAGTTCGAAGTGATCAGCCGGCAGCCCAAGCGCCAAGCTCAAGCCCCTTGGTCCAAGTTTTAAGACCACGAGACGACGAGACATCACAAGACAATAGCGCTCGCTTCTACCAAGCAGTGGGTACTGTACCATTTCTAGCACTCTGCTCCCGCTCTGCCTGAGCAGCTCGCGTGACAGCTGCAGCAGGGAGGAATGGAACCGTCCTCGGCTGAGACAGGAAACGAAGGGAAGCCTGCAACACTGCAGTAAGAGCTCTCACCCCACACATGATCTCGACTGCTGGCCGGAAATCGAAGCTTGTTGTAGAAAGCAGGCAGCGGCTCAGGTATGCCTGCTCTCCACACCACAGACAGAAAAAAAGGCCCTCTGCCGAAATGGCGTACAACAGGCCATCTCGGACGGACCCGCTTAGACATGTCCTCTAAGCGGCTCTCGAAGTGCCTGGCCTGGCCTTCAGCAGCACCCGGAGGCTCGCCGCAATAGAATGTCTCTTTTCCTTGGCGCAGAAGACCAAGGAACAGTCTCGAGTATCCCGTGCCTCCAAAACAGTCTCTTCTCCATCGTTTTTCCTCTGTAGGAGTCTATCCCCACCTGCCTGCACGAAGCGCGATGTGGCCCTACTGTGCTTGCTGCTTCGGGGCTCTCCGGACGCTTGGTGCTCAGTGAGCCTCAGACCGGCATGCTTGTCCAGGGCTTCAGGTTTCGCTTCTGGGAGAGGTGCCGACAATGAGGGTTCCCAAAACTATACATGTAAATGAATATGAATATTAATAATACACATATATCTCCTTTTACTTTTATATCAATTTACTTATCTATATTTAGCTTTCTTAGAATCCTCCAAAGCTCCCAAACTCCTGCAGCCAAGGCGCAATTCTGTCCGCTGCCATAGGGGTTGTAGCCCCGCCAGCCGCTCGTCTCGGAGCCTCGGCCATCCCCAAAGAAGCACCGAAGGACTGGACCGGCGGGTAGGAGACGACCACTGCAGTACCAGTACCAGGACGCCGAAGAGAAAAAAGCGCTCCCCCCCCCCATGTACCGGCGGATTCAGCCATATGGTTCTTCCCCTCATGCACCGGCCGGGTTAGGACTTTTACTGGGCAAAATCACACCAGCGTAGTGGAACTTGCAATGAAAAGCGCTTTCCGGAGGTCACGGCCACACGGATCGTGTACAAACACTGGAGATGCAACTCGCCACCGGTACTACCTCTAGTAGTTGCTGGCGGAACCTTCGCAGCAAATAACGGGACAGGATTTCACAACAGCGGTCGTTTCTCACGGGCGAACCACTTCCCCTCACTCTGAACATAAGGAACTTGGTAGGGTCTACAATACTGTTTGCGGAATTATAACGCCGAATAATGTAGTTATCTATCTGTCCACATATTAGATGATGTTTATGTATATGATGCTTATGTATAATGTATAGTGTATGTATGTATGCATGCGCAGTTTCCCTATGACTGGGTTGCGTAACGAGGCCGGCTGGCTGCTGTGCTTGAGCTTCGCGTCGAGCGGAAGCTGAAAAAAGTCCTTGGCCATGTCCTCAGACTCGATAAGATGCGAGTCGAGCGCCCACTGTCTACAGACTTCTGCGCCTGGCTGGCTCAAGGCGGAACTGCGGCCTGGTGGCAAACATCTCGTCGAGCACATCTTGAGAAAGCTCGTGGCCCTTCACGAGGAAGAAACCTGTCCTTGAGCTGTGACTGAGAGCAATATGATGCCCAACACGTGCCGCGCGACCAATGCATGTCTAATTCCGAGACATTGCAGGTCTTACAATCGCCACAAAGACACTCACAGCAGGCTTGCCGCAGCCCGCGGACCTGGCACTGCGGCAGCGGCACAGAGTGGTTGATGACGGCACTTCATGACAGCTCATGGATGCAATGACCAGGGGAGGCACCGCAGGGTGGCTAGCCGAGTCAGCTTCCCGCAGCTCTGCGATGTTCACAGTCCGCAGGTTCTCCTTAGATATTGCAGTATTTGGCTTAGGCAGTCCCAGCTTCTGCTCTCTGCAGACTTTCTTATGTGCCGATGAAGCTCATCCACTTCATCGATGTCTGGATTGCGCGACATTGGCTTCACAAGGACGTCTGTACTGCTACACGTGTAAGATCAGGCGTAGTTGACGTAACACACCAACCTCCCGGTTGGAATGACAGTCAGGCAAGGCCACGTCTTTTAGGCATCGGTTCACAGCTGAAGTTCTTTAAGGGTCATCTCACGGACTGCGACTCAAGTTCTTGCCACAATGACTGACTAGTGCAATGTGTCGCGAGCCAGAAGCGGCATCGGCAAGTTCACACGATAAGTTCCACGGCTTGAATCGTTTGACACGAATCACATTCATTCTGAGCCCGTTTGCAGCTCAAGAACCATATGACAGCAAGCAGCCAAAAAGCAAGTCTGTCTTCTGAATCAGGCTGCGCATTGCCTCGTTGCGCATGGATTTTGTCGGGTGGTAGCCTCGCAGGTCTTGAAGCTTAAAAGCTGGAAGGCTAGATAAGCCTTTTACAAAGCTTGGCCGGTGACCTGACTCGGACGGCCCGTTTGCCGTTGCAGTTTCGATCTCAGACTCAAGCGATGCGAACAGAACTCCGGCCGAGGATCTGCTCAGCCCAGCACCTCTCGCACCACGCTTGTTGCCGGCTCCTTCGAGGCGAGAGCGGCCATTTGTGGCGCTGCGCCTTGCGGACACCGGCAGGAGCTCGAGGCTCGAATGCATCTCTCGGCTTTGTCAGACGATCGATCTGTCGCACGTGTTGCACCATGCCTGTCTTCAAATCCGAGAAGGAGTCGTCCAAGAGGGACTTAGTTCCGTTCGGACGTTCAAGGATATTTGTTCGAAGTCTGGTGGTCATCACGTTATTGGAGCACTATCGGATTGAAATGACTGCACCTGGCCATGGTGGGCCACAGCTAGCACTGCACGGTCGGCACATTTTGTGAAACACTTGCACTGGTCTCGTGACATGTCGCTTGTTCTGAGCGGTGATACATCGAAAAAATCGTCGATGGAGCTGTCTGCATCCAGCACACTTGCACCTGCTCGGCGTGCAATGCTTTGAGGGAAGACATGTGTGACGGAATGAAACGCGTAGTGTGGCTGTTCAGAAGCCTCCGGGCGCTCCAGAGGTTGGCCGGTAGGCCTTGCAGATACAAAGATATAGGAAGACAACGGAAGGCCAACACCAACACGACACAAAAGGCCTCGTCACCGTCCAAGTCGTCGAACAACGCCTCCCGCGCATGCGCGAAGGGCAAGCATCGACAGAGCAGCTATGTGCTCATTTGTGTTCTCAACGTCTCCGGTATCCATAGTTGTGTGGCCGAATGGCCATGTCAATGTGCGTGCCGGCGACAAGTAGGTGTCCTCCACATCGAAGTCCCCGAACAGTTCGAAGCCACTGCTCAGTGCATCTGCCTCTCCAAAAACGGCATCGGAATCATGCCGCTGCACGTAGCCACATGCAGCCACGGGACTTTCTCAGATTTCGGACCTGTTTCATCCGTGCACAGCTGCTCGACGGACAACAAGCCAATTGCAGCCCCTCCGCCCAAACAAAACAAAGCATAGAAACGTGTGCCTGCAGCTTTGGCAGCTCCTGGAGATCCGGAAGCCTGCGAGAACTATGACAATCATAGCCAGAACAGGGGCGGGGGTTTAGAGCTTTTCCCGTTCGGGTTATGGGACCCAAAGGATGCTAAGCGCCTTTGCATCGGTGAGACTTCGGCGTTGTCGAGATCTTTGCTCTGTGGCGAGTGGGTCCTGCACAGGACACAGGACTCCTTGCATACAAGTATCTCACAGGCTGAGTGCCACCCGGAAGCCTCAATCCAACTGGCAGGGTTCCTTGCATGACTGAGATCTACATCTCGCTACTTGTGATTGCAGCACTTCTTCACTTTACTGGTAGCGCATTTGCCGCAGAGTTTCTGGACCAGCAGCACTTGCCATCGAAAAATTCTGGATCTCTTCCTTGCTTGAAACGTCATATCATGGCCAGGGCAGTGAAGGCCGTAGTTCTGGATACTACCAAGTGCATGCGAACAGAGAGGCTCTTTACTTGCAGCTGCAGCGAGAGCCAGTAACAGAAGTCTTTGCATCTAGTAATCTAGTAGGGTGCGAGCGGATCTTGCGGCTTCGGGGCGGTGTAGCTCCTGTAGCAGCAGACCTGCACTGGAAGGGATGGAGGTACCAGGCCCTGGCCTGGAGTCTGGGACTCTTGCAGGAACGCCCGGCGGCTTCGACTGCACCTCACGCTGGGACTGGACACCATGGACGCGGCAATTCCAGGACGTCTATTGCGGTACCAAAAATTCAGGCCATTTGGCGTGTGTTTCCCCCACCTGTGCAGGTTCGACCGCCCCGACTTCATCTACAGGTCCGAAAAGAGGATAGCTCATCCGAGTGGTTCGGACGGCTCTTCTTACAGTACGCTACACCATATCCCTGACGTCTTCGGCCAAGGCACCTGACAGGCAGAGAGCTGCAGATACCTCCTCGTCCCGCCCACCGCCAACAACCACCTGCTGCAGCTCTGTTTGCAGATTTGGTCAAAGCGTGAGGCGGAAATTGTGAATTTGTGTCCCGGCCAGTCTGCCACGGAGCCATCCCAGTGACCGCTGCCTGGAAGCAAGATTGAAAGACATGTCGAGGACCCAGAACCAACATCCATTCTTAGCAACTTGAACATCCGATGACGCAGCATTACGCTCTGCCATAGCCGGTTGAAAGCTTGTGTAGTTGAAATTTCGGAGCGAGAGGAATGCCCAAATGAACGCCTTGCAAATCTTTTTTGGAATCCTCCCGCTATCTCCCGCTAACGCATCACTACGTCAAGTAAGGTACAGCGCACGGAGAACCGCCAGCATCAGCAGGCAGCGTTTCCCGTCAAGAAAACTGCGGAGGATTCCGCAACACAGCTTGCAGGACGAGCTACGGTGCAGAAACAAACATTTCAGAGACACAGCCCAAGGAGAGGCAAACCCTTGCAGCCGCTCCTTTCGTGTCAGACACAGTCGCTGCAGTTCATGCATTATCTGCCAACTGCTCACATGTCTCAGGCTGTCCATCAGGAGTTATGAGATCACCTCGAATTGCCACGCACGGCGAGGCAGCAAATGCAGAGCGGAACTCTTGGAGTTGGAGACTAAGCTCCGCTCGCAATCAACCTTGCCGCGCCCACAAGCACAGCCTGAAGTCGATGAGCAACTCGAGCAAGCCCGGGAAACAAACATGCACGGATTTTGAGTGCACCGGTGAAATGACTTGGGGTCGTGGCTACTGGCGCGGCTCCCCTGCCCGTCCGTTTCGCGCTCTGCTGGCTCCTACCGGGAAGGACATGAAGAAACTCCCTGTGCTTCTCAGATCAACTGTTAATCTAGTGAATATGATCTACTCAGGACCGCACAAGATGGGTTGCCAGCAACGGAATGGCTTCGCGTATGACCGGAAGGCCTTGGGCACAGGCGGCTCGTGGAATTTGTTCTCAAACAGATTAGGCTGCGTTCGACAGGGGCGGACCAGCATCGGTCCAAACAATCCTGCACAGCACTTTACAGATTTGCAACCGCGCTTTTACCAACATCATTTTAGCTACTGAAAGCGCACTTGCCCCTCCACAGGTCCTGGCCCCAACGACGCCACAGCATGGAAGCGCTTTGCTGCGAAGGGAAGCCGCATCAGGCGTTGCACCTCTGCCATCCAGCTGTTGGCTTTGAGACTTTCCAGAAGTTTCAGTGGTCTGAGGAAGCCTTAGAGATAACTTAGTGGAATCATGTGGAATACAAAGACTACCAGCATGCGACTCCCACAGGCGATGCTGTAGAGACGCAGCAGAACGCAGAGCTTGCGGCAGCATGCAAAGCCAGCATGACAGAGCGTGACACAGCCAAATTCTTGCTGATCTCGGTGAATGGCTGCTCGGAAGATAGGCGTCGAAGATAGAACCTGAGACTCTTTTGACCACAGCAAGCCCATCCGGACTTCATGCACCCCTGAATTATAGATGGTGTGGGGAGAAGGGGTGCTGCGACGGTGCTGCGATAAGGGGTGAACCAGCTCAATCTGAAAGCTTCTGGCAGGATGCGGATGCAGTAGGAGTGGCCAACCAGCACGGTTGCAGCTCCACCACCCGCCTTAACAAGCTGACACACAGCGGCCTTTACTTAGCTACTGAGCCATGTGAGGACGTGAGGCTAATTGGGCTCTGGCCACGGAACCGCGCATGCTCCGGAGTCGACGCATCAACGCCTGCATGCCGGCACTGTAGAACCACGACGAACTGTTGATATCTCACCACCCCGAAAGTGCTGCGAGGTGCGTCAACAGAAACCTTAAGCGCTACTTCGAATACACAAACCAAACAGCAGAGCGAACAGTGCTGTGCCTGCTGATTTTCGTCTATGTCGGCATAGCTTTCGCCAAGCATGCCTCCCCACCTTGCAAGTTTTGGTGACACATCTACTACTCCGAATGTATAGTCGCCGTTGCATGGATTTCTTGCATCCCATACTTTGGCCCACGATCGAGGGCGGCACCACTCGTCCTCAACGGTCGACGTGTCGATGTGGATCGTGTCGAACTCCTGCATTGCATCTCCAACCAGATTTCCATCCCAACAGCCTGGAGCGAAGTCAGTCCTTGAGCACAGCTTCTGTCCTTTCAGAATCTGGGCTGGCCTTCGCATCAGTGTAGGAGATCAAGGAACATCACCCCCCGGTACCACAACACGAGGTGAGCAGCAAGAGGTGGTATGCAAAGAACATTAAGCCTTTGCGACCGCAAATTCAGCAAAACGCCTGGTACACGGCTTCCAGTTCAGCTCGGACTCGCTCTGGAATGTCCTACATGGCAATGCCGGCAAGGGTTGCCAGCTGGAGATAAAACGATTGTCTGAAGACGGAACACTGACCGAAATCTGGGCAATGCATGACAACACGGCCAGAACACACGAACTGACGCCTTGCCGCACGCAACGCCGGTTGAATCGAAGCCTCCGAGCTTCTTGTGCTCCCGCGCCTGCATGCCGAAACACATTTCTGCGCATATGTGTGTGTGTGTGTGTGTGCGTGCACGCGCCTCTTGTGTGACCTGTCTGCGTTTCTTAGCGTCTGTGTTTCTGCGGGTATACATGTACATGACATATCTGTGCATAGGTCGGTCGGTCGGTGGGTCGGTGGGGGGTAGGTATATATGTAGGTAGCTAGGTATATAATAGGGCAAGGGAGGCAGGTGAATGGGTAGGTGGGTGGCTGCTGGGCTGCATGGCTGGGTCTGCGTAAGCACTCATGCCTGCATATCTGCATCCATGTGCATACATATAAGCAAACATATATTCGATAAGCACATATATATGTATATATACGGTATATGCACACACATACATACGCTGCGACCCCTCACCCCGATGCACCGACCTGTTTCATGGGTTTGTTCCAAATTTACAAGTTTCCTTATTGCTCAGATGTTCAAAACATATAAGAAGAAAGCCCAGCACTGCACATTCAGACAGGTATCAAGCGAGCGCTTAGAAAAGCTTGAACTACTGTAGCAGGCTATGGTAGTAAAGTATAGCCTGGTTTCCATGTAAATATTAAGCGCTTAACCACTGAACAAAATCATCCGACCCGCGATCTTCAGATCTCAATTCACGCAGGCACTACTCACTTACCACACGAACATTCCACAAGGTACGTAGCGGCATAATCTTCAACGAGTCCGTTTGAAGTAGTCATGAAAAAGAGCATCCAAACAGTGGTGTTGCACAATGGTATGCGACCATGAAATACACATTGTCTGAACTCTACTTAGACACGTGTTATATATGACTGAGTCTTGGGTAAATTTGCATGACAAATAAACTTTTTAGCATTTGCTTGTGCCCGAAAGTCATTTCTGTCAACATCAAACAGCCCCTAAGTACATAATCGGGAAATATTACTTAAGGTCTACGTAAATTTCAAACGCGGCTTGATATGAACAGCGAATATTAAACACAGAATAAAGCACCAAGCAATCTGAGTATATAATTCTCTTGGTGTATAAACATTGGTTGGGCATAGTCGCATCGTTCAATACTGGACATCAATCCGCCGAGGCCAAAGGCCTCTGGCGTCTTGATGGTTAATACTAACCAACCCTCTACCTAATCCTTCTCCCTGCAGCCCAAACGCAAACTTCCACCCGTTTTTTGCCACTGTTTTCGACCCCCTTGCCCGGCTTCCGTCCTTTTTTGCTGCCGAATTTGCCTCCCCCCCTCCTTTCTCCCCCCCCTCCCGGGCCCCTCCCTACCCCCCCCGCCCTTCCCGCCCCTCCCCCCCCTGCCGCCCCCTGCCCTGCCCCCCCCCTCCCCCCTCCCTCTCTCTTCTCCCCCTCCGGCCCGTCCTCCCCTCTGCCCTCCTCGCTCGTTTTCCTTTTTTGGTTGCCCACCCTTCCGTCTTGTCCTGTTCGTTTGCGTGCTTCTTTCCTGCTTCCTCGTTGAAGCTCTCGTTTTGCTGTTTTGTTCTGGCCCCTTTTCCGTCTTGTCTGCACTTCTTTTGGCTTGTTTTCATTCCTTCCCCCCCTCCCCCTCTTGCTGGCCCCCCCTTCCTCCTCCGGCCGGCCAGTCCACCCTTCCGTGTTGTCCTGCCCTCGCGTGTTTTTTCGACCTTTTCTCCTCTTTCGGCCTGCCCCCCACCGAGCCGGCTCCACTGCCTTTTCTTCTTATGTTTCGTTCGCGTGCTTTGGCTTTTTCGGCCTGCCCCCCCCCCGGGCCGGCTCCACTGCCTTTTCTTCTTATGTTTCGTTCGCGTGCTTTGGCTCTCCTGCTTCCTCGTTGAAGCTTCCCCCCCCCCCGACCCTCCCCGGCCCCCCTCCCCCGGGCCTTCCCCCGGCCCCTTTTCCCACCCTTCCGTCTTGTCCTGCCCTCGCGTGTTTTTTCCATTGCCACTTTTTCGTGCACTTCTTTTTGGCTTGTTTCCTTCCCCCCCCCCTCCCCCCCACCCTTCCTCCTCCGGCCCCCCCCTTCCTCCTCCGGCTTCCCCTTGTTTTGGTCTTCTGCCTGCTCGTTTTCTTTCACCTTTTCTTCTCTTTCGGCCTGCCCCCGGCTCCACTGTGGGTTTTGCTGCATGTGTTTGCTCTACACTTGCCACACTTCTCCAAGTAGCCCTGACCCTGCAACTAAATTACACCTGCTTTAAGAGGCCCTTCGCAGTTTGGCCCCTGCTCTGCGCCCCTGCTGGCCCTACTGCAGCCGGCGGCCGAGGCGGGCTGCGTAGCATTATAATTAGACATCAAGCAGGTACTGATAAATGTATTAGTTTTTTTAGCTCTAGCTGTTATATGGGAGCCTTTGCAACGACCCCTGGCTTCTTGTGGGATTTTGGGAGAGGACGCGTGCCGAGAAGTCCGAGTGTTTTGGCGGTGTGGGAGCCTGATTTAGGCTCCGATGTGTTCGGGTTGCAGTGTTTGGGGTTTGAGGTTGGTAGTGCGACGAGTAGTCTGCTTTGAATGTAGGTACAGGTACTTGTGGGCTTGGCTTTCATGAGGTGGGATTCAGACGAATAGGACTGAATAAACTTAGTCTTTAAGTGCGCTGGGTTGGTCTAGCTTTGTAGGCTCAGGGGGGGGTTTGATGGTTTGAGGCTACAGTTAGGGCCGGCTGTTTCAACTCAAACTGGAGGAACCCTGATTGACGGCAACAGCTGAAGTCATGTGTTTGTTGTCCCCACCCCAGCAAGCCCTCGCTATCCTAGCCAGCACATGACCAATGCTGACAACCAAAAGTATATACAAACCCATCATAACCAAAAGTTGGAAAGTTGGCTCTACAGCCGCTAAGTAAAACATTGGCACCTCTCATGATTCTGATGGACGGTCCCAATAAAAACCGCACATTTTGGAGTCTCTTCGCAGCGTAGAACTGGAGACTCCAAAGCATTGGTTTTAGTGGGACCTTCCTTGGTTCTGGGCTTCGAACCCCTAAAAAACATTAGGACCTCTCATGGGTCTTGGACGCTTGGGGCAAGGAAGTGCTGAGAAGTCCCAATACTTTGAATGTGGGGTCCCAAGACATTGGGACCTTTCTTCCGGTTTTGTAGCTTGGGGAGAGCACTTCTGGATTTCTGTTTCATGGGGACCTTCCATGGTTTTGGGCTCCCAGACCCCCAAAACATTGGGAGCTCTTATGGCTTCGGGATTCTTGGGGCGCAAAAGTGTCGAGAGGTCCCAGTTTGTTGGTTATTTTTTGAGGCCCAAAACATTGGGACCTCTCGTGGGCTTTGCGACGCTGGGAGAGCGAAAGAGCCAAGAAGTCCCAATGTTTTGGGGTCTCGGAGCTCAAAACCACAGGATGTCCCGGCATAACCAACACAATCAAAGCAGAAAAGGGGTAGATACGTCGGGGGGCGGTCCTACGGCTTTACAGGCATCTGGTCAACTTTCTCTGCGGGGTATCGCTACTCTGGTCAGACTCATACTAGCAGTAGCACGAGTAGACGAGAAGCAATAGTCATATTGGTAATAGTAGTGGTGGTGATCAAAGTACAATAACCGTGAGATCAACATTGACAATGATGATTCCATCAGATATGGCAGTGTTTCATAAAACGATCTAGTGGGCATCGATTAGAGTCTAGATTGGTGCATCGATTGCCTAGCCACATCTCACACCGAACATGTAGGCACAAATGTGACGGCAGCACTAAGATGTCAGAACAGATGATCGTTTTGACGGATGCTCATATGCTCATGGTAATAGAACCGAATAAACATAGGTGCGCGTAAATATGTTTGTATATGTTCTGATATGTGTGTACATACATGCATACATGCTCGCATACAGACATTCATGCATGCGCTGTATGTGTACATGCATGCTGGATGCATGGATGGCGGTGCGTACAAAACGTGTGTAGGGGCGGACCGCGAGCAGATCATAGAGCCTGTATGGTTTTAACGTCCATAATCAAAAGTAGCGCAGTGTAACATCTAATCGCTGTTTACATAACTAAACTTACAGACTTGCATGCAGACAAGCAGATGGCAGGTGTGAAGGTTCCCTGCAGCACGACCCCAGCTCTGCACCAATCTGCCTATTTCAATACTGGAAGCTATGTCATGGCCTCGCGGAAGATTTCTAGGCCAGACTTCGGAATGAAGTCCTGCACAAGCACAGCTACACTTGCAATCTTTCCCAAGCAAGCATAGCACAACGACATGCTTGAGGACATTCTGCTAAGCCTCACAGGGAGCTGATCCTAGCTGATCTGTCCTTGAGGTCCCGTACTTGTACGTACGAGTAGAGTATCGACTTGATCGGCACTTTCACAGAAAGACACAAAAGGCAATGACCAATTCTTTGAAGTTGTAGGAGCGCCGGTGCATGTCATGTTCCTTCCAACGAGTCCACATGCCACGTCATGTCATCTGCAAGCTCAGAGTAACTATGACTTCTGGGTTGTCTCGCTCAGTCGAGCGATGATCTTCTGTAATCCTCGCTGCCGCTGCCGATGGATGAGCACTCCAAACCAAGCGTCAGAGGAACACCAGCGCCTCCGTCCAACGCCAATCGCGGTCGTTTCGTTCACGGTTCAGACGGGACAGCGGCTCACGCTCATTCACAGCATCAGGCGAAAGCACAACGTAGCTGTTGATGCCGGGCACGAGACCACAATCACAAGCAGCCTTCGGCTCAGCGTAACTATGACTTTTGGTGATTTCTTTCGCTCAGTCGAGCGCAAAAGGATAATCATCCTCGCCAGCTTCGGCCGCAAGACAACCCAATGCAACCTTTTGTGGCTCGTGAGACATCCTTGTAGAGCCTGGCAGCTATCCAGGACAACCCTGGAAAGAAAGCGAGCATCCACGAACCAATAAGCTACATGCACGCGCAGGACTCCAAACACGCCTTAGCAAGTCCTGGCAGACAGAACCTGTGATTGCCGACGTCGATCATGCCACGGCCCCAACGTTGCTTGCAAATTCATGTATATAACCGGAGTCCTTGAACGCTATGCAGGCAGTCTCGAGGCAGCGAGTAAAGGGCCTGTGCTATGTTTGCTCTGCGAACTGTGCTGTGCATCTCTCCCGTAAAGATTTGCAACAGTCCACTGACCGACTGCTTCTTGCCACAGCGATTATCATCAAAAAGACTCTGTCTGGGCATCTCACGAGCTGCAAACCACGTCAGGGTCTTAGCGGGACGGCCGTACACCGAGCACTTCCAGGATTCGCTTGGTTGACCAAGGCTCAGGCCAAAGATCCTGGTCATCCAGGTTGCCTGGCCAAGCAGCCCTAACCCTGTCAACTTGGGATGCTGACGTTTGAGGGCTCTTGAAATCCAGGCTCAACGGACGAGCCTGTGGGTTCATCACCCGGGCCTGACAAACATGGCTCCCGATGGCTACAGCAAGCAGCAGCTGCCCTGAAAGCTGTGCTGCCTTAGCGTCCATCAGCTTCTGCCTGAGCTCCTCAAGCAATCAATTCATCCTTACCACCCTAAGCGAGTCAGGAGGGGGTCTCTTGGCGTCCTCTGCTTCAAGGCGGCCATCCTGCATGGCACGAGTTCATCTCGTGGCTACAAACGCCACTGCAGTGACTCAGTCACAGAGATGTCTACATGGCAGACGGAACATTGGTCCATGGAGTGCCAAAGCATCAGCAGCCAGCAGTCAGTGACCATTTCTTACAGATGCAGTCCTCGGAAAGGCCGTGGTCCTTGGACGGCATTCACACAAACTCCACAAGTTCCATTGACAGAAAAGCAGGTTACGAACCATGTATCTTGTCTGTCATCAGCATACAGGTTCGACAAGAAGAGATCGCCAAAGAACTGTGACCCAAGGATTCGATCGAACAGACTGGTGGCACAAGCAAGCAGAGCTGCGGCAGGATGCTGAGCCGAGCCCATGACATTCTCCCACACCATACCGAGTGGCGATAGGTTCGCCTGGGAACACAGGAGAGTCGCATGACGAAGTAACATGCTCCAAATTATGTATCTGGGTGTGCCCACTTGTGATGAACACACGACCATGCACAACTTCAGCACACACGGAAGGGCCTGCGCGGCGTTCCATCGGCTCTGCCCATGCCGCACGAAGAACACAATCTGGAAAGCAGTGGCGTGGCGCATTGGTGCAACTGCTGCAATGCTTGGACCAGGCCACCTGCTCAGGAGGGAGGTCCTTCCACAGGGGGTTTCAGTACTGTCGTCCCTTAAGCTCCGAAACCAAGGTCCTTCTGATCAAGCTGCGTCTCCATGAGGTTCTTCACTGCACCTGCGAGTGCTAAAGTGCTAAGGTACAAGTACTTGAATTGTGGTCACATACACACGTAGGTACAAAATTAGCCTGCCTTGGTCCAGGTTCACGTTGCCGCTCAGCTCTTGCAGTGCCATCGGCACATCCGGTCGGAGCAGTACTATGCTTGGAGGCGTATGGAGTTGGGAAGTGTTGTGTGATCAGCTTGCAGCACATCTCCTCCTTGCGCATAATTAACCTGTACTGTCCACTGCTCTTGCGCGCTCTCATTGCAACTTATTGATGGAACATGTCAGTCCCAGACTCTGGGCATGAGGGCGCAGCGGTGGAACGTCCCCACGCTGCACTGCAAGTGCACAGGTTACAAACCTGACCCCGGGGCCCGGGGCCTGTTGCTGCCAGGGTCCGCGAAGCGCCATAAATCAGTACCTTGGAGCTCTTCCAAGCCCAAGCCGGGCCTCTCCTATGGAGGACATGTTTCGCATCGTCGCTGAGATCAGAGCGATGTGACGCAGAAGTAGCCTGCAGAGTGCGAGGGTACGATTCCTGCACATGCTGGCCTTCACTGAGTGTTGATTGTGATCAAAATGCTCTCCAAGTACCCGAAGCAGCTCAGCACCTTCTACTTACTTTGTACTTTGTTTCCACCGCCAAAGTCAAGTCAACAATCTGCTTGCTGCGGGGTGGCGCTCGATGAGCGTCGCTCAGGGCCTCCAAAGGGCACGCATGATGTTCAGTGGGCCAGCCGTTCTGCTCCGATCTGTTTCTGTTTCCGTGCCGGGTGCTTCGGTAGCGCTCTTCTGACCCCAGTCCTAGCCGGTACTTCCTCGGCGCCTGCCTCCCACATGTCGATACAAAACGTTGCAAAGCAGGGAGGTGCCCTTTCCGATTCTCGGCCTCCAGCTCGGCTCCCAGCAGACGCTGACCTCAGCCCACGGGATGTGGCCGTTTCTGGGATTATATGTATGCTGTGGGAATCTCCCATAACGCTGTAGGTTGTGTAGGCATAGATCATCGGTCGGATACGAACTGTGGCATCGGAGGAACTGCAGCGCCCGACCCAGCAGCGACGTTGTACAGCGGTCGACCAGGCTCAGAAAGCTTGCCTCTCAAGTTGTGGCCATGCTTGTTTGCAGTCTGAACCGCTTGTTTCCGACACTGCCTCTCTCCATATCTCTCCCCCCCTCCCTCTCCGCAGTAAGACAGAGTACCACCTGCGAATCGGAGATTATAATTTGTCATGAGTGTCATTGCAGGGTGCAGCTGCTTGGAAGTATTTCTGCATCGTTCGGATCATGAAGTCGTGCCGTGCCTTTGCACCTTGTCGCCCAGCAGCCGATTGGCCGAGGTCAAGGTTCTTGCATCTGACGCAGGGATGCCATCACATTGCATAAACCGTGAGCTCCTCTCAACCCCGTCAGACGTCCAATATCAGCACAAACAAGTATTAGCAGTACGATGCTAGAACCGCCGGTGCAGCATGCCCTCCAGCTATGCCGAGTTTGTTCCAGGCGGGGTTGCAGGTCGGGTTGACAGGATATCGTTTTGCAACCGCCTGATTACATTTACAGAGGTCCGTATACAGCTCCGGCCAGGAATTGTCACACGGGTGCGCCAAGCAGGTGAGAAAAGGTGAAAAGGCAATGGCCGACTGAAGCACTTCTCCGTCATCGATGCTAGGTTTTGGGCTAGGGCTTTCAGTTAAGGATACAGGGATTGGGGGCAGCAGAGTTTTGAGGTTCGAGGCTCGTTTTTCAGGTTTCGTGCGGCTTCGGGCTTTGGGTTTGGGGCTTAAACTTCAAGACTTTTTAGAGATTAGGGTTTAGGGGTTGAGGGCTCCCGGTTTGCGCTGTAGTCTTTAGCATTTCAGGGCACGGCTTTGGGGCTTGAGGAAAAGTGCCTGTCCAAAGTCGGTCAGTAAACTGGAGCATTCCCAGCGGATGCTGATAATGCTTAGTTGTGTTGCTTTTCCCTTCACTGTACCGTGAGTGAGCTCGTGCTCACTGATCGCACCGGCACATTCTCTGGTTCTGCTCGATGGTACCCGTGTAGCTCCAGTCCGCTTCTGGCCCGGGGCACTTGACTTCTTTGCCGCCCTCCAGCGTGGTCTGTCAGTTGAACTTCCAGTCGATGTAGTGGGCTCCGAAGCTGACGCAGCCGTGTGCTGTCGCTGTTGACGATGGAGCGCCAGGTAGTCCAGGATGACTTGCGTGTGCAGATTCGTTGATGTCCAGACACGAAGTCCGTGTCCATGTTCTTGAATGTCATCTATGCTGGCGGTCATTGTCACAGCAGGTCGTCCTTGTCCGCTGCGGGCGTGTCGAATATGCAGGTGAAGTCCTGTTGGCAACGTCCCAGTGATAGGAAAAGACAATCATACTGGACGCACATTTTTCCAAGCCACGGTCAGAGCACGCAGACTGCCCATAGCTTGAACTTCTGCTCACTGTGGTCTGGTAAAGCATGCGTCCATCCTTGAACATGGACGCGCATGTCTGCTGGAGCAGACCCACGATGTCTATGACAAGGAGGCCGATGCGTGCTTCGCCATCCCGTCTGCTCGGAGTTGGAAAGCCCGGACCGGAGTAGGACCGGCCGGACAGACGCCTGTTGCACTGCACGCGTTAGCCCATTCGCCGCGGGGTGTCTGCTAAGTGGATAGCGATTGCTTCTCTCCCCTGAATTGCCCTGATGCCTGTCGCGCAGAACCGAAGCCACCAGCAGTTTGGAATCGCTGAAAGCCGTGTGCAACCCGTCCCTGACCACAGAGCCGACTTCGTAACTTCCAAGCGCTGCTCGTTGGGTGGGATGTTCCAATTCTTCACTCGGATCTGCCCTGTCACATCGTGAGATGGCCCGGCTACAGCCCGGTCCACAGAGAGCCCAGCATCGCAGGGCTGTATGCCGGTCGCTCGTCGGGGTCTTTGATGCAGCCAAGAAGGTAGCGACTGTGCCGCCTGCCTGCCCAAAACTGTCAGGAGACAGGAATACCCACCCGCTTTCAAGCCCACGCGAGCCAGTGGGCGACCTGCTTACCAGAGGTGGCGTGTTTCATGCTCCTTCGAGCCAGGTTGAGGAACTCCTGGGCGTTGTCGTCTGCCCGGTGCTCCAGGTCGCCAGCTCCTTGTCCTTTCTCTGAATTGACAGTAGGTTCCTGTTCACGGCCCGCATCGGCCGGTCTTCTTGATGGTGCCTGTGTAGCCACCATTCCAGTTGTGGCCGAAAGCAAATCCAGGAAGAAAATCTCCTGTGCTTCCCACGCTGAAGAGTCAACTCTAATCTCGTCGATCTGAGGAATCTGAAACTGGCTGTCAAGCAGGTCTTGCCTTGTGCTTTCTGCGAACCCAGGGACCTAGGGACGACGTCAATGCCATGTCTGGTCGCAGGGCCCAGCAGGCTTAAGGTGTCGTGAGCACAGTTCGCAGAATTTCCATGGATGAGGACTCCTCGCCCAGGAGGGCGCTCTGGAGGATGCCAATGACCTCGCAGCTCACTGTAGGGGAGCAATGGCAATGAGCACTCGGAACTGACTAAGAACACATATCATGACACATATGTCCAAGCCTCTTTACTGCTTCTGTAGTATGCCCATGACAACAGCCAGAACTCAAAAGTAATACCATAGTGCCATGGTAGGAGGTAGCAATGAGACTGATAAGAACAACGGCCCTGGCCTCTGGTGCGTTGGCTCGTTCACACCCACGCAGCGCTGCCACCACATGGTGTGGCGCAGCGGTGACTTTCTTAGTCCCGAGGTCGACAAAGAAGGATTCCTGAATGCGATGAAACTGTTAGAGTTCAGAACAGTAGCATGGCAAATCCTCAGGCCGCTTGCCAGGCACTGGCTTAGGAACACCAGAACTGGCAGTTCGTAGCGAAGAGATGATGACTTGACTGTGCCCCTTCGCCAACAGAAGCCAAGAAGCAGGTCGCCGATCCAATGCAGCCCTGAGTTTCTCGGCTGGGTGGCTATCATTCAAGGCCGAATCCTCAGCAAAGCTCGGCAGCTCCGGCTCACATCTACTGTATGCGTTCGGCGCTTGCTCTGCTGACCGAGTTAGATTCGATGCATAGTGGCATAGTTGCTTAATTGAGTGCTTGGAGACTCGGTGCAGCTTTTAAAAAGTCCCCGGCCTTGGGAAGAGCTGGCCCAGGCGAGCTTCCGTTCGCAGCAAGGTCCAGCACCAGCGCGCCACCACAGCTGATCTCGCGGCCTGGCAGGGGAACAGCAAAGTGTATGTGCCTGTCCGGAGGCTCGTTTGTGCATCATGCTGCAGCGCCTGCCTCTGTGCACTTTGATCCCGCTGGAGGCTTCCTCGCGAATTTATTCAGGCTGACAGGGACTGCGGGCTTGCAGTAGAGCAGATACATCCATCAGAGCTTCACGTAGCATAACATCATGCAACGTGACAGTCCTCCTGCTGTTTCAGCCCAGATTTCTTGAGCTCGTTGAGGAATACAAGCCTAAGGCACACGCCACTCTCTTCGGTCCGATGGTCGCAGACATCAGCAAAGCAGGCTTAGATCTAACAGATCCAAGGCATCCAAGCTGCTCGCTGAATGCGCGCGACGTGTGGACCAGCCTATCTGCAAGCCTGCCGTGGATAGTCATCATACCTCCGCATCGAAAGCCTGAGCTCAAGCGTGCAATCCGGAAGCCTTGACTCCAGTTTGCTAGCGAGCCTATCGCGCTCAATCTTGCTCCGAGCGGCACAAGGTGATTTGGCAGCCGCGCCATCCGCCCTTTCCAGATGTCACGTCTCGCAGCTACCAGTATGTTGTCCTGTGCTAACTTGCCTCTCGGAGAAGCCATCATGAACCAAAGCCAAACACAAGTTTCGGGTCGAGCCTTAACCCACAGATTCCTGAACCTCTTGATTTGTTGCCATCCGTACAAATGCGTCTTCGTGCATTTGCCCTGCTGCGCCTTTGAGTGGCAAACCGCTGCCACAGCACTGCGTGTTGCCAGAGCCAGCGCATCTCGGGCAGCTGAGGAGCATGGGCCCGTGGGGTCGAAGAGTTCGGACAGCTCCTCAGACTGCAGTGCAGCCATGTGACGGGAAGCTTCCAACGCAAACTCTTTTGAACTTCAGAAAGTCAGAAAGCCCACAGGCTACTAGTAACACGTCTTGCAGGCCAGACTCCGTTTCAATGGGCACAAGGAAATGGACCGCAACCTGTGGGAGGCAACTCGGAGCTGCTATGGGACTGGAGCGTGTGGTGCAATGAATCACTCGTTCGTCTCTTGATGGGCGGACAGGGCGAACAAAAGCTGAGACTGACTGCAAGATGAGGCAGATGGAGGTACATGGCAGCTGTAGCTGAGCTTCGATTCCAACATCTCAGGGCACTTTGCCTTGGTCAGAGCGCCGCTGTCATAGTCCTTTGAGAGGTTGCGCTGCGATGGCCACGGCAAGACGGTTCCTGCAAGGAACGCACAGGGATGTGCAGAGCCTCCGCGCATGCCCTCGGCTCTCCGGCCGGGCTTTTTTCCATCTCTGAAATTGTGCGGAGACGTGGGAGAGGTGGGCAGCAATCCTGGCACTTGCAAGCGTGGTGGGTGGTGAGCCTTGCCTACAGAAACCAGACCGGAAGTCCCAGAAACGAGCTTGCTTGTAGGTGCAGGATGCTCCTCAGCTCTCGAACAAAGCCAGTGACCCTAGTCCTTCAGTCCCTTCATGTCCACCTCCAGGTGCCATAGCGTCGAGGGATGGTAGAAGGCGTCCGCAGGAGTGCCAGACCTGAGCGGCCAGTACCAAAGGGGCTCAGATCGCCGCTCCCAATTTTGCCCGGCAGCCTGAAGTCGTAGAACCATCTTCGAGGCAAACTCCGATGCTTTGCCCAAGCGCAGCCGAAGGACCTGCTTCACAGAAACCTCCTAATCCGGCTTGGGGGTGCTTGGGGCGCTATGACGACGACGGCTTATTGACGATGAAGTGCTGGGCCGTTTCTGGCTGTCTACTAGGCACCTTGAAAATTTCGCGTGTGACTGCACTCCCGCCTGCCAGCCGGCACAATGCGCTGCACGTGCAAAAGCATGCTCCTGCAAGGCATCGTGAGGTTGTCAAGTTCATTGAAGCTCCAGGGTCGCAAGCAGGCTTTGTCAAACAGGTATCTACCCACAAGATGTGCTGGACAAGGGCGTTGATGGGTACGTGAGCAGGGCCCTGACATTATCAGAGAGCCAACGCAGGGGAGCAAGTGCGCGGGCATTCCTGCACCCGATCTTTGTTGGGTCAACCCGGATATAAAGGAGGCTCCTGCGAGGGGCTCAGCCCAGCTGGACAGCCGAGCAAGAAGAGCGCACGCCTGGACCGCTTTCTGCGCATCATGACTGCTTCGACTGAGACTTCATCAACAGATACTGAACCCAAAGGAAGATTTAGAAGGTGAGACTGCCGAAAGCCTGATCCGAGACGGCGACGGCCCGTGCTCCACCAGAGGCAGCGGAGGATGCTGGTCGTCCAGCAGGATCACGGCACTCCCGGCCGGCGACCTGGGGCCCGCGCTGAAAAAAGAGAAGAGACGAGAAGAGACCGGTGCACCACGGGCGACGAGTCCCTGAGTCCTTTCTGGTGCGTCCAGGGAGCCCCAGGGAGCGAAGAAGCCTCCGAGGAGCGAAGCGAGCGGAAGCGAAGCGGAGGGACGGGAGCGAGCGAAGCGAGCAAGGAGCTCTCGGAGCGCTTCGCCCTCTGAGGCTACTCGAGTCTCCTTTTTTTTTGGGATTTCTTGCTTTGGAGGACTCGGGAAGATGCTCGGCTCGAGCTCTCGCCTGTACGCCGAGGCCTCCAGGGCGTCGGAACGCGGCGGGGCCATTTCCCGCACGCCACCAGACTCAGAGCGGGAGAACGGAACAGAACTCCGCGACGCTGACTGGCCGGCAAGCGGCGTTCGACTTGCCAGATTTCCAGACCTCGCTGTGGTCAGGATGCCACAACAAACGTCACTGCATCCCGAATGAATAAGACGGCTTTGCCGGATCTCTTTCTGCAGGCAGGCTGCATGTCTCAGCAACGAGCTCTCACTTGGCAGCGTTCCCACCGATGAGACGATGACGTCCTTCGTTGCAGCTTCAGAGCTTCAGAGCGCGGCACTTCTTAGGGCACCAAGCCCAGGCCATCGCTTGCGGTCTTTGGGAACCCCAGGGCTCTTGATGCATGGCTCCCGTGGCATTGCCTGCTCTGCTGGGACCGGCACCATCCGGCACATGAGGCCCTCAACAACGTGAATGCAGCACGGGCACTGAATCCAGCAGCCAGGAACGGCCATCCTCGAAAAGCAGCGCTGCAGCCCTCGGTGCCACAGGACGAACTCAAAAGAGTGCGACTTCTGGCAGCCCAGGCGCCGGACCGATCCTGGTACGGGGTGCCCGGAGCGCGCCAGATTGCACCTGCTGAACGCCGAGACGCCACAGCAAGCGGTACCAGTATTGGAGCTGAGACAATTATAGCTCATCATAGCTCTACATCCTGCGCCCCGGTGCCTGCCTGACAAGCAGCGGGCGACAGAATCTCTCCGTTTCCTGGCGTTTGTATAGCAACAAATCCGAAGATCCGCACTTATTGAGCTTTGGAGGCTTATGTTCATCATCGACTGCGGCATCAGCCATGCGTTGAGCGTTCAAGCTATATGAAAGATGTCTCCACGGCCTGCAAGCATAGTGCGATTTGCGCTAGAGGGGCGGAGCCTGTCTCTTGGGGGAATTCGGTCGCCTTATCTGCGTATGAATGCGCATCGACGGAAGAAGGTCATTTCAGGAGCATCCGGAACTTACGCATCTTGAAGTTGGGGCTGAACTTCGGGGCTGACGCAAACCGTTGCTGCCTATGTGGCGCATTGATCTGGTCGCGGCTGGGAGAGCCTGTGACTAAGACCGCTAGAAGCAGAGCCGGGCAGAGACAAGTTAAGGCCCAACATGCTCGAAGTCCTGGCCTTTGGCAACGAAGAGAAACAGCAAGCTGAGCGCTTCAGCCCTGCTCTTCGTGGACAGAACCTCGGTTAAACCGACCTTTACTCTGCCATCAAAGGTACAACACGTTGCACTCACCTGTGGAAACCAGGGCCGGCGAAGAAGCAGCCCCAATGCCTCCCTCATCCAGCGCGGGGCACCCCACTCCTGCACGGTTGCGAATTCAGAAACGCTGCTACATCATCACATAAGCTTCGGACCTGCCAATTTCTGGCCACAACGGGCGCGACGTGCTGCTTCCACTTTGCACCACGCTTGCGCCAAGGCCGCACGAGCCTGAAAAAAGGCGTGCGGAAACTTCAAAACGTGCGTGACCACGATGCCAAATCCGACACCTGCCGGTCCGGCGAAGCAGGCCGCTCAGCCCCAGAGCCTCAGGACTCAGAACTCCACCAGCAACGGCAAAGCTTCACGCTGCTTTCGCGACGCAGCATTTTACCATCCGCATACCATCCGCTATCCTCTGAGATTTCGATAAGGGTTCTCATGTGATCCTCTGAGACCATGACCTCAGCTGCATCCCAGAGTGGTCGCCGCCTGCGGGACCTCCAATCACTCCATGCTGTGCTTGGTTGCAGACGCTTTCGGACATGGCACTGCCTCTGTCTACATGCATGCATTGTCACTCCCGCCTGCTGTTGCGTTGTCGAGGTTTTGCAAAACGACGGCTGAATCCCCGAGCATGTAGAAGCTCGCCGTCCTTCTGAGCAAGAACGGATCAAGGCACAGCCGTCGTCTCACAGCTGGTGAAACTCTCAGGATCAGGTGGCAAGAGCAAGGGAGCATCGTGGAGAGCTTGCCTTGTCTGGATGTGGGACGATGCAGTCGGCGAAGCCTGTCCTAACAGCACAGTCGTGCGAGGTTGAACAGTGGGCGCTCATATCACGGGTCTGCAACAATCTGCCCGTGTCAGCACGGGTGCGGTATGTGGACACAGGTGGCAGTGCCTCCTCAGCGGGTAGCCGTTGCCCCACATTCCATGACTGCTGACCAACATCTGTGGTGCGACTCGAGCCTACATGAAGAACTCTCCAACAGCAAAACGAAGCTACAAGGAAGCTACGACGTTATAAGTATCCATGCAAGCTTGAGCCAGCTTGAGCCACCGCATACTACCGGAGACATGAGAATTCCTCGACCACCAACTTGTCGATACATAGATCTGCCGCTATCCGAGTCATAAGCAGGCAAAATTGAGCGGAAGCGCACCGGATCGCCAGGAGCTGGTGTAATCCAAGCCTCTTGACATCTGCCTCTCAGCTGGAACTTGTCATGTTGTCTGCGATGGGGCATCCGAGTTCGGTTGCACGTGGACAAACTCCGCTCGACGGAACAATGAAGTACCAATAGCAGATGTTACCTGTTTGCTGCCGATGAAGACGTACGCAGTAGGCTTAAGTCTTCAAGCTATCTGCTCGACAAATCCTAAAACACGTGGCAGACCTGAAGCATCCACAAAAGCAGGCCTCGGCAGCAGAAGCATCTGCAGCAGCACAGTCCAGGAGAGAGGTCTGCACACTGGGCGAAGCTCAGTAAGATCATCCAAGATCGAGGATCGGAGTGCCAGGAGTGCAAACCCCTAAGGCTCCAAGTGCATGCAAGTAGGTCGCGATAAAGCCGTCCTCGCCCTTCAGCAGCCGCTCGAAGAAGCCCTGCCGTGTCAACAGCGGCCTCTGGCGAATCTGCCAACTTCTGAGGCGTAAGTAGACAATACAGAATATGTAATATAGCGACTGAATATATGACATTGACATACCATATACTATACTATGCTCTACTCTACTAACTTACAGCTATATCCTCATAATCACCAGTACAAGAATATAAATTTGCTCCCGCCGTGCACGGCTCCGTGGAGCTGAGGCTCCAGGCGTTCCGTTGGCTCGTCGGGGAAACTCCAGCAGCCTCTGCAAGGGGCACAAGGTTCGTCATCTGGGCTACCGTGGAGGCTTCGCATACTTTCATTGACGTTATAACTTTATTGTAAGGAGCTCTGTTTTGCATCCACGCGAGCTTTGACTCTGATGACGATCCGGACACGTGGCCTTTCCGTGCCGATGGCCTCCGCCAGCTGGAGCAAGCCCGCGCGGAGCAGCCCCTCCTGCCCGAGTCGGACAGGACGCAGCCCATCTCGAGCAGGGAAATTGGACGTTACGCTGCGTGGAAGCCTCCGGCTCTGGTCCAATCCAGTCGCTTCGAAGCACTCCTGCCATGGCTCCCTTGCCCCAGCAGGCTGACTCATGTGTCCGTGCCTTTTTCAGTGTCGCCAGCCGTCTCCATAGCAATGGCCGGGAGCCCTCAGACGACTGATTAAGAGAGCCGATGCAGGTTGCACCCCTTCGCTGGGGGTCCATTCCTTTTCCTCTTCAATGAGCTGGAGCCAATTCAGCTTCGAGTGCGTCCAACACCTCACAGAGCCTTGTGCTTGGACAGAGTTTCAGAACTTCGTAGACCTGAAACTAATTGCTGCTCTCTTCACACGTCCGTGCTTGACTTTTGCATTCTCAGGGAGCGCTTTGAGGTCTCCAAATGTCTCTGAGATCGAGATGGAGCTGGTCGATGATGCCACCGCTGCAGTTTGTGAGCTCCTGGACATAACATGAAGCACAAACGGCATAGACTAACTACCAAAGTTGTAACAACAAGCCCTTGCCTACAAAGAACATGACCAGATCAAATCAAAGTGTCATTATCAGATTTTGCCGTTGCAGAACCGTCGTGCCATGGACTTGCTTCCTCCAACACTGCAGCCCTCCCCCTTCCCCCAGCCGCGATGGTTGCCTTCTTGTGTCACGAGTTTGTCGCTCCCCTTCAGCTACTCTTTGGAGGCAGAACCCAAAGGGCTGATAGCTTCATCAGGCTTCGATTGCTTTGTCAGCTCTCAAAGATGCTGGCGACAACGGCTGTTCCCTCGCATGCCGCAATGTAGACACATCGATCACTACAGCCATCCTGGCCGCGACTGCAGAGTGACGAAACCCTACTTCGTTACGAAAAGACCAGACAGAGCCCCAACTCCAGACCCGAGGGTCCCAAGACCCCGAAACCCAGAAGAAGCCCAGAAGAACCTCAACGCCGCGCCTTTCCCACCCCACCCGCGCATAAGCCGACGACGACCCTGCCAGCCTCTGCTCGCGACGGCTTCCAAGGCCCGCGGGCCTCGGAGGAGGCTCGTTCTTGTGGCTAGGACCTAGGAAGGTTACTTATTATAACTTTGGTCCGTACTTGTATCTACAGAGTATCTACATGCGGGGATCTGCACGTTGAAGGATGTAACCCGAAACGTGTCCAAATGTGAAGTGAGATGTGACACTGGCAACGAAGCATGGCATTTTCAGCACAGCGAAGTGTGCGGCGGTGTATCAGTGACTACATCGGTCGTGCACCCTTACCTCTAGCCAAGGGGCAAAATTCTCCTTGAGACCTACCACACTACACAATGATAGGCCTCTGAAACTCTCCGCTCATGGTCTGCTCAGCGCTTTGAGGACAGTGTTCGTGAGAGCCAGTCCAAACCCTCGTACAGACCGTCTCCCGTGGTGGCACAGGCGGATTGGATGAACCACTGGCGATGGCGCAGGTTGTGCAGCCCGAGCTTCTCAGTGACCTCCGCCGCAGTCATTGCATTGGGCAGGTCCTGGCGGGACATCCCTGCAGCGTAGCCCATGTCACATCCGAGGTCTTGATCACGTCACTGCTTCATCAACCTACTCCGAAAAATCGTGCCTGCTTGTTGGCGAAGACCAACAGCACAGCATCGCGCATCTCGTCTTCGTTCAACATTTTGTTGAGCTCTTCTCGGGCATCTTCGATGCGGTCCCGGTCATTGCTGTCAACCACGTAAATCAGGCCGTTTGTGCCTTGGTAGTAGTGGCGCCACAGCGGGCGAATCTTGTCCTGGCCTCCGACATCCCAGACCTTAGAATCGCGACGAGTGCTGGGCATATTCGATAGTGATTTTGGCCCGCAGGCTCTTCTCGCTTCTGCTGGACTTCATTGCGAGACAGGCAATGCACTGATTGTTGTTACCCACATCGCCTTCGGGACTTCGCAAATAAGCTTCCGACAGTGAAGGACAGATTCTTGTACCTTGCCCGCGCAAGCAGACAGTTGCACAGTCAGAACATGAGGTGCTGAAGAACATGTGAACGCCGAGAGTTACTGTTCGCGCAAAGGTGCTCAACGGTCTCCACGTTGAACCCAATGGTTGGGATCCTTGGCAGCAGACCCACGTCTGCGGAATTCTTGAGTGATGCTTGGCCAACGAGATAGACTGGATCCCAGCTATATCGAATCGAAGGCTCGTGGTGACCACCTCCCCCAGCTTAAGCTTGTAGAGGATGGTGGTCTTACCGGCCGCATCCAAGCCGACCATCAAAATGCGCATCTCCTGCTTCCCAATGAGGCGCTGCCATATCTTCGTGAAGGCGAGACCCATGGCTCTGGGGCGTCTTGTCCCAGCCAAGCGGAAGGAATACTCCGGAGAGGAACTCTTGCACCGAAAGGATTGCAGAAGTAGCTATAATTCCATGACTTGGACACTCATATCGAGGAACCGGTTCAGAGCAATCTGTCGAAAGCAAGCGACTCATCAACGGGACACCTTCTGGGCAGACCCGAGCCGACGACCGGTGTACGAGATGTGGGACTTTGTCAGCACAAAGCCATCACATGAATCGCTGTGCCAAATTTTACTGGCTTGGTATGGAATGTGTATGTGAAAATCTTGGCAGTTGCTGGAATGCAGCTGCTGGAATGCTCTGTATCCTCGCGGTTCCGGAACAAAATGAAATTCCAGGACTGCTTCAACCTTCACATTGAAGACATTTTGCTGCCTCCGCCTATTCTCACGGCAATCGAAAACTCAATAAAAATGTCGTTTTACAGCTCGATGGTCTCGTGCCTCTGAGCAACCTTTGGAGCAGGGCCAGTTGAGTTGCTTTCACTGCCATCTTGAGCCAGGGAGGCAATGAGGCATCTTGCGTAAGAAGCTGAAATCTCTCATGTCATACTGACGGATGAGCCCGGCGGGTGTCAGCCTTGCTCGTGCTCGTGCTGCATCCAGAGACAAAGGACATCATGCTAAACAGTTCCTACACCATCCCGTCACCTGAAAGACAACTGCTGTTTTTCCTCGGACCCTCAGCTCCGAGATCTGTCTGTAGCCACCGCTGTATCAGGCAGCGCAGTGTGGAAAAAGATATTGGCATCTGAAGCCGAGGAGGAAGCAGCACGACGGCAGCGAAATGCAAAAGATATCCTGCACGGACATGGATTGCCTCTAAAGGCTCCTTTAAAGTAAACCTTATAGGACAACTTAAAACAGCCCTTAACGGTTACCCTTAACGGCCCACCATGCCAGCTGCTCGCCTGCTCGGCTCACACATTATCCGGAGCACGGCGGGTGTCAGATCGAAGGCGTTGGCTCGTAGCCGCGATTCCTGGGTGTTGGCACGGATCAATCCAGTGCATTGATGGAGGTTCCGAGGTCCCCTTCATGAGGATACTGCTATCTATTCTTCAGGTCCCGCAGTTTTCTGAAACTCCCTGATCTTCTAGAGTCGACGCTCTTGTGAATCCTGCCGCCTGGGTGGTTTGGAGGGATTCGTAGAAGTGGGGATACTTCTTGGGTAGTCTTCGCATAATGGATCCATAGGCTCTGTGCTCTGGTCCCTTACACCCTGAAACCCTCAGGTTCCATTCGACAACAACTGTGTACTGCGCATCTCTTGCTTCGCAGTTGGCGACGGAAGGAAACGAATTTGGAGGCTGTTGAAGCTGTGTGAGACTTCGGAAAGTAGAGTTTCTGCGTTACACGTGCATGTTGACGAAAGTCAGGGCCTTCGCAGCCTTGACAATTCGGATGCTTCGATGTGGCTCAGTTCTGACAACGATCTTTAAACACAAGTTGAAATCGCCAGGAGCAAACACACGCACACACACGTGCACCATGCATCATGTTATGGTTATACGTGTGTGTGTGTGTGTATCTATATATATATACACATGCATATATATATATATATATATATGGTTACCCCCCCCCCCCCCCACCTTGGATCTACAATTTTGTGGCTGGTTGAAGCCCTCCACACGAACACAGTAGATCCTGCATTTTGCGGTTAGGCGAACTCCGCCCCAAGGATCCTGGGTACAGGCCCGGCCCCGGTACAAACCGATACAGTACCGAGGGGATCCAAGATTGCTGCGGATTCTTTTCCTGGAATCTTGGATACCGAAGCCCGGCTTGTACCGGCTGTATCGGTTTGTACCGTGGCCAAGGCACGCGTCCAAGATCCAATACCGGATATGTCGCTGGCCTTAAACGAACCCAAATATGAACGAACTTGTTTTCTCTGTCTTCATCACATGGCGGTTGCATCCTGCGGTCATTTAACACTACCGCCTTGTCACCAGGAAGTCTCTTGGAAGCACCTGGAAGTTAATGGTAGGAGATGAACTGGAATCAGAGGCTAATATTATATCACCTATTTTGCCTGCTATATGTGTGTCCTTTGTTGCTGTTTCTTTTTGATGTACTTAAACGAATGAAGGTAATTAAAGACAGGAACGAAGTGTCTCAATGCATGCTTTCGAGTCTTTGATTAAACAAAATGCCACAGGAACCCCAAAAGAGCTAAATTTCATGGAATGAAACAGATGAACACGCACGCTTCTCTTATCCTTGCACTTGTTTAGTTCCATAACTTTATGTTAATGTGATGTTTTGGTACATTGAATCTAGTATGAACGACCAAGATGATAGACTAGGTGTAATGTAGGGTTCGATTCTGTGTTCAGTCCGAAGAAATTAAGCAAGGTAACGGAGTGTACACCTGCCGGGTTTGGTCCATTAAAGAAAACACATGCGATAAGATCTACCAACCGAACATACAATGGAAAAAGGCCAAAGACATGACACGAAACGACGGGTACAGAATGCACACCTTCATTGTCCCTTCGTTCATTATAACTGCTCGTTATCATGTACATGGTGTGATGTTGCAAAGGCAAAAACACGAATAGAACAAAGGTACTGCAGTCAAGAAAAAGCACGTTTTGTTTGATTGTGCTTGTCTATCTTCAACTTGCTGTGTTCTCTTCTGTTCAGCTCCCGTCCATTATGTTTCAGTTTATGCTCTTCGTTGGTAGAAATATACCACAGAAGATTTATCTTCTCAGTTCAAACCATGCATATGCTTCACTTCATGTCACTCCTGTGTTTCATTACATTAAACAGTGGGTGTTAGCTGCGGCTCGTTCATGCGTGTTGTGCTTGAACTACTTCTTGTCCTTCCGCTTGTGTTAACCAGTTGAAGCCACTTACACACGTGCACTGCCAACGAGCCCAGAGCTGTGTTTCAATGAAGACAACATGCATTGCACATGGCTTCGTTTGCTTCTTCTTCTTCATAAAACCACAGGCCATCCAGAAGCTTCTATCTCCACATCTTTCTTCTGTTGTGGACCATGTACACTCGTTCAGTTGTGCTCTTTGTCTAAGTTACATTGTCTTAATGTGTCATAAACAAAGGCTGCAAACAGGACTCACTTCAAGGAGTTGTAGAGACTGAAACCATGAGCGACTCCTGATTCCATTCCTGTTCTTCACTGTCCTCTTCCCCTTGTTGAATTCATTCAGTTTGTTTCTTAGTATTTGGTCGAATAAGGTTAAGGAAAAACTCTGTTCGTATTAACCTCTAGACCTACCAAGAGGAACTAAGGATAAGGGACAAGGGACATAAACAACATGAACAAGTGATAGAACCCTGGTGTCGAAATCGTCCATAGAACGCAATGTTGAATACTGGACATGGGATGTGCTACTATACATTGAATCCTTTATCATTCCGCTTCGTACCCTTTGATTAAATGACCTAATCACTCATGCACGTTGTTCCTAAGTATTGATTCAGGTCATAATGTCATGTTAGAACAAAGAAGCTAAAACAATTAAAAGACAAGAACGTGCGTTTGTTACTCTTGACTTAGCGCCTTTGCACCCTGCTAGCCTTGTTTCCTTCCTTGGGTGTAATTAAATGCGTCAAAATCACCCGTGTCCGACCTGTGCATTCTCAACAGCTCTCATGTTGAAAAGATGAATCATGCTGCCTGCTTGCTGCATCTGGCTCTCCAACACGAAAACGGTAGATCCTTGAGCGGGGGGTAGCTTTTACATATATGTGTATACACATGTAATATGAGAAAATAAGTAACTTTTTTTGCATATATGTGCAAGCTTACGCTACCTTTCACCTCACCCAACCCACCTCAACCTATCTTGTTTCTTCTTGTGTTTTTCTTACTGCTATTAGTCGTATCATCATAGTAGTATTGTTCTTCTCTTTTTTCTGCTCTCACTCTCTCCGCCACTACGGGCTGCAGCTTAACCAAGGAAGGCGAGTGCATGTTCACCTGGGCTGCGGACGGCCGCATGCAGCGCCCAGTTGCTGCCCGCACAGTGCTGGAAACCTTGTAGTCGAATTCGAAGAACCGAAAGATCCACCCCGGCATGGCCTGTGAACTTTAAGCCCCTGGCACCCTCCACCGCGCCGATCACGGATCGAAGCGGCCAAGAGCCTCATCACTCACGAAGAATGCGGCCACCGGGTCCACTCTGTCATCAACAGCGGTGCCATCTCAATGTTTCCATCAAAGTGACTGCCAAGTGAGTCTGCCAGCTGTCGTTCCAGCTGCCGTTCCTAGCACTGCACTAGAATCGACACAGTGTGGAAACATGCCTTGCTGCCGAATCTCAAGAAGGAAGCGGACCTTGACAGCTTGCTCTTGCAACCTTTCTGCAGCACGGCTGGCTGCTTCCTTCAGGCTGGCAGCATTTTCCTGCAGGGCGGCAGTTCCGGTCACAGGCAGAAGCTAATGTTTGTTTCTAGGCTGGCTCTGCTTGACTCTTCAGGCCGCGGCTTCGGCACGCGCCAGCTGGGCTTCCAAGTCCCGCACGCGGGCTCGCCTAAAGCAAGTGGAGGAGGCATGGGCTACATCTCCTGTGCTCATGCTTCACATCCTCGGCATCAGAGCAGCAGCAGCTGCAACAGCAACATCGTCGAAATTGTCACCATCCTCTTCTTCTCATCGTGGTCACCATCACCGTCATGCCAACTAGTTGTAGCTCTAGTCACGGCCATCAGAGCCACCGGCAGCAGTAGTCGTCGTCGTAGACGGAGTGGTGGTAGCAACAGCAGCAGCAGCAGCAGCAGTGGCGGCAGTAGCAGCATCAGCAGTAGCAGTAGTAGTAGTAGCAGTAATATCAGTAGTAGCAGTAGTAGTAATAGCTGTTGTTGTCGTCGTAGTAGTAGCTGTTATTACTGCGGTACTAGTAGTCATAGTAGTAGTGGAAGTAGTAGTAGTCGTCGTCGTAAAAGCCGTCGAGGTTGTCGTCGTGGCGGTGGCAGTAGAGCATCCATGGCCCAACCATGATGACGTCTACCGACTAAGCCGTTCTGAGTGATGGTCTGAAGCTCCTGCCGCTTGTGACGTTGCCTTCGCGGATGTGAGATGTGCGCTCTTTCGCAACAATTTCGTTGAACGAGTTTCGGCTTTGCTGAGTCCTTCAGTTGGCTCCTTGAATGCAGGAGTTAGCGACGTTTCTGTATCAGTGGGCCCGACATGCACACATCAGGGGAAACAAACCTGGGCACTTTGCCCTGGAAGAGGCCTCAGACGTAGGCGCTTGGGGTGATGCGGAAAGGCTCTGAACGTTGGAAGGTGTTGGTCCTGTCTTCAAAGACCTCACCAGGAGGGGAAAAGGGTTGTAGTAGTAGTCGTGATGGTCGTAGTGGTAGCAGTAGTAGTCGAAGTAGTAGCAGTAGAAGTTGCAGCAGCAGCAGCAGCAGCGGCAGCAGCAGCAGCAGCAGCGGCAGCAGCAGCAGCAGCAGTAGCAGTAGCAGTAGTAGAAGTAGCAGCAGCAGAGTAGCTGAAGCAGTGGTAGTAGTAGCAGTAGTAGCAGTAGTAGCAGTAGTAGCAGTAGTAGCAGTAGTAGCAGTAGTAGCAGTAGTAGCAGTAGTAGCAGTAGCAGTAGTAGTAGTAGTAGTAGTAGTAGTAGTAGTAGTGGTGGTGGTAGTCGTTGTTGTTGTAGTTGCGTCGTAGGAGAAGTAATAGTCGTAGTCGTAGTCGTCGTCGTCGTAGTAGTAGTAGTAGTAGTCGCAGTCGTTGTCGTAGGAGGAGGAGTTATAGAGTAGTAGTAGAGGAGGAATGGGAGTAGGGGAGTGGGAGCAGCAGGAGAAGGAACAGGAGCCGCAGCAGGAGCACTCGCAGTGCAGTATCTGTAAGCCTACAACCTGATTTCGGGCGGGCATTACACTACTTGCTGTTGTTTATCCTGCAATGTCGCATATGATTAGCACTGCTATTTGTAGGCTGCTAATGTGTGGTCATGTTCCAATCTCTTATAGTGTTCCGTTCATCCTTGCTGTCATTGTCGTGGCATGCTGCTGAACCTTAACAGCAGCCATTCACACCTCTTGTCTGCTTGAGCCTCTGACGTGGCAAAGCCGTCCATGGCTTCGGAAGCCTGGCACAATGCCGATGCGCTGTTGCGTACAGATTTTGGACCTGCCATGCTTGCTAAAGGTCGTGGAATGCACACGTCAACCGACACTGTTTACTGGTTCCTCAGTCAATCATATCGGCCAACAAGCTGTCTGCAACTTCGCACTGTCTCAAGGTCCGTTTCAACCTGTGTCGATCAATCAAACCTTCTCCCAAATTTTGTCGGTCACCTCGCGGGCATCTGCAGAGCTGCGCTGTGCTTCCGCAAGCTGCGCCTGACGTTGGCATTTGGCGGTGTTCGGCGTTCGTTGCAGCAACACACCGAAACCTCCGCGCTGCACGAAGGTGTATTGACAATTCTTGGCAATGGTCCAGCCACGCGGCAGCGCTGTGCTTAAGCCTACGAGGTCCAGGTTCACATGAACCTAGCGGGGATTCATTGGCAGGGCTGGGTTGCGCTCCAGCACGAGATTTTGGCTGTCTGCCAATATGCCCGGGCACTACGACTTGGACGATCGCAGATGCCCTGCATATGCCGTAGAGGCAGTCACAGCCACAACCCCGGCCTATGCAAATAGAGGACCGGTGAAGGTCAGTTGTCACATCGCACGGGTGGCTTGAGTGAGATGTCTGCTTTCCTGGCCTCTAGCTCAGCCACGCGACTGGCCAACAGCCTGGATCAAAACACTTGGACTGGCTCTGTCTCCCTGCATGCCACAGTCACCGCACAGGCCACTTTCACCTGAGCAACAGGCTTTTCAGCTGCTGCGCTGCCCAGGTCGCCGACACCTCCTGTGTCAGCCTGCCCAGGCTCAAGGAACGAAACAAACACCCATGGACCACGGAGACTCCCCCTGTAGCTGTGCTAGAATGCTACCTGTAGAAGATCATGCAAGCTCTGCAGCTTCTGCAGCGGTGCTCTTTTCTGCCAAGCAATCAATCGGGTGCTCTTTCGAGCGAGTGGAGTCGCTGTTGCTGTTCTCCTTCTTCCTGCACGCGCATGAATCCGTAACATGAGGAACCCAAGGTTGCTGAAGAGACACGACATGGTTGAAAATGCCGTGCTTGGTCAAACTGTTGTCATTGACTACAGTTTGTTCTTGCCATGCCTCAGGCGCCAGCGATGCCGTCCACCTTTTCGTCTCCTCCCACGCGTCAAAGGCGACTTGCAACCGTACACCTTGGCAACATCTCAAGCGCAGGGAAAAGCTACTACAGCCGGTGGTCCGTGGCCTCTCCAGGAGCTGGCCAGTTGGAAGAAGACGGCGGTGCAGGAGATGCACGGGTGGGCACTCACATACCTGCATTGAACTCTTCGAGCCACCGAAATCACGAGGATGAAAAGCACTGCTGCAGAGGGCGCAATCGAATGCCGCCTGCTGGTGGACTGAGTCCTGTCGTGGCTTCAGGGTGCTGCATCCTACATTCTTACATGCTATGCCTCGCAGGCAACACGTCGCAGTCCTGCAGCATCAGTGTCCAAGTCGCCTAGAAGCAGCAACAGTGCCTGCTGCGAGCGCTTCGGAAACGACAAGATCGAGTTTGCACCAAAGAATAAGTAAGTATGCATGCTTGTACTCATGGCTGCAACACACATACAGAAATCCTTCAATCCGCGCTCTGTCCTGGCTGTGCAAAGTGTAAATAATCAAACTGCGTAAGCGGGTGGATTTTGCGGATGCTCCATTCTTAGTATTCATTTTCGTTGCTTCTTGTGGGGATCAAAAATGCCGAGGCTGGCTGTTCGGAGCAGTTGCATCTCTCAGATGCACATGATCCTCTCACGCCAGCTGATCGGACTTAAGGCATAGCTGGGCTGCTGGGCCCAGCAGATGGAGGGTACGGCCCCGCAAAAGCGGCACATACTGGCCGCTTGCCTGTCGCTCTGCATGTTGGGAGCGATCATGATCCGCCAGGATTGGCTGCCAAACATCCAGCGTTCCGCCCCTGCGCAGCGTCGTCACATCCCACACATGACTGTGTCGTTTTCGGAGGTACCCAGCCGGCAACGCATGATTCCCACCTGTGACCCACGATGCGGCCAGCGCTGGAGGATGATGGCAGCTGAAGGCTAAGCTGACTTTCCACCTTTCCATCAGATGACGCGAGAGCCGCCACAGCTCGAAGATGTGCTTTCAGACTTTAGGAGCTCGGCCCAAGCCGGAACCGACTTCGCTGCAAGGCTAGACGACGCATCAAAGGTGCCTCGAAAAGCCGGTCAGAAGGCACTCGAGTCACTGTGGCAGAGCTCAAGATCTGCCTTCCATGCGGTGCAGTCGCCGCACAGCTAGCCGTCCTTCTGCTTCACGGCTTGGCCCATTGGCAAGAACGCCCAGCAAGCCCTAAGATCCTCGCGGTCCTTGCGGTGAGCAACCCAAGAACGTCGCCTTGCTCAGAAGCTCTGCGATCCCTGCACCCAAAGACGGCTGCCGCTGCAGCACCTCAGGACTTCGCCGAAACATCACGCATCGTCACGCGATCCACATCAGCATGGCCGGGGGGGCCGGGGCAGCTGCGGTGTCCGGTGTGGGACCAGGTACGTCGCGCTGCGTGCGCAGCTCTTGGAAGCGGATCCAGCAGCCCCGGAGCACCTCGTCAGAGGCTTCGAAAACATGCGCAGCACAAGGCAACCGGGCTCTCTCGATGCTGGAAAGCAGAGCCAGGGTCAAGCTGGCTCTGCAGACAAAGCGAAGCAAGCGGCATTGATGCGAGTACCAGTCGACAGTATAAATTATAGTATCATGGTGGCATTTGGCTGACAAGTAGCTGAGTCACCGAGCCATAGACTTTTCACTCTTCTGAAAGCTGTGTTTTTGATTCTTCCGGAGCCGTTGTCGGAACACAAAGATAATTCAGAATTCCGGCTCTGCCCAAGAAGCACTTTTCGTTCTAGAACCGCAGCAGAATGAGCATCCAAGCCTCAGCCCACAGGTCTGGACCCTTGCCGCTGCTGGACAAATTGCGCTCTCAGGCTTGGACGCCCGTGAAGCTGCAATTTGTATGATGCCGTGGCTACGACCTGGCGACAACATACCCAGCAAATCCAACTCGCAAAGCTGGCAACGCGAAACACCGTTGCAACAAGCAACACCCTCGTCCAGAGCAAGCCTTACCTCCACCGCAGGCTCTCAGGCTTGGACGCTGGGTTCCTCTGCCACAAGAGAGGTCGTGAGCAGCTCGAGCAGCCCTGAAGGCCTCACCGTCCGAGAAGCTGAAACCTATACCAGTACGACATGTGACATGTAACTCGACCTAACTCAAGGGCGGGAGAGCACCTTCGTGAACTTGTTTTTGAGTGCCTGTAAGAGCCCGGCAGAGGAGCACCTTCGTTGAAAACCTCTATGGCGGCCTGTCGGACGGAAGGAAAACGAAGGCCCCCCGGCTCCAGGCCTCAGGGTGCGAGCCCTGGAGACGCTACCAGTAGAGTGCCACTGGTGCTTCTCTGTTCATTTCGGCAAAGGAGGTTCGGGACCCAGTGCCCGTCATCCACAAAAGAAAAAGTTTGGCTTTGCCACGCTTTTGTTCTTAGGTGGTTTGGGTCAACTTCTAAGGTCGTGGGATGTCGTGGGCAGAGGTTCTGCCGACCGACGGCCAGGATGAGCACATCCGATGGAGAGTGACATTGCGCGTCGTGCGGCTCGGTAATACTCAAGTCTGATGGACTGACACATTCGACTGTTCGAATGGGGAATGGGGAACATAGACTCAGGAAGATCCGGCTCTGCGTGCTGGACCCTCCCTCAGCCCCGCTCACACCACACGCAACGAGCCTGCAAGGCAATGTTGCCTCGATGCGCCGCGGCGGTGCAGGAAAAGCAAGGCCGCTTCAAGAATAACACGAGCATGTCAGCATGCTACTGGAAAGCTCCGATCTGAGCCCAGGGCTGGTCTCTATACTTGCAGCCTGCATGTCCTGCCAGCGAAGCGAAGACTGCGTTGCGAAGCGAAGACGATGCAAAGCCCAAAGCCTCCAGCAGGATCAGGGCCAAGCCCCATGCGGCCGCGGAGGCGGCCGCGGAGTTCAACCCGTTCAAGGCCGACCTCGGCGAAGGCCGGCAGGGGCTGTCTGCGGCATCGAAGCACCTGGGCTCCTCGGGTTCCTGGCCCGTAAGACCGCATCGATGCAGGGAGCCCATCAAATCTCGACACCTCGAGAAGTGAAGGCCATTCTGGACATGTCAGGATGCAACATGCATGCAGGGCACCTGAAGCGCTTGCAATGCCCGAGCCCACTCGAGACCTGTCGCCAGTCCACACGAAAACATGCCTCACGCTGTCAGCTTCGTCGGACCGACCTTTGTCAAACGAGCTCGTAAGCGAACTGTGTGCAGCAGCTCCTGTCACTCTGTCACTCTCCGCTCAGGTCGTGTTTGCCAAAATCGGGTACATCGGTTACATGCTCGACGGATCAGAACTGCCCAGCCCTTCGTCTCCCAGACGCGTCGAGGTCCGCCGCGCGGTCCACAGCAGCTCCTCCCCGAGAGCAGAGATGCAGCCGAGAGCGCCAACTGCCAGCTGTCCCTCACTTCTCCTCAGCACGCTGCCAAGGCTGGAAGGCGCCCTCCAGCCTTGAGAGTGCTTTGATGCGGGATGCACCCAAACATCCCTAAATGTCCACAGAGCCATGGAGAGCCACGCCGTGGGAAGACACAAGCGCCGGGTCTCTGTGAGTAGTGCCGTTTCACGAGCAGCAGCAGCAGCAGCAGCAGCAGCAGCAGCAGCCACGCATCAACCAGGTCGCCCCGTCATTCCGAACGCAAGTGTTGCAAACAGCCGCACCTTTCAAACAGTTGTCGTCAGAGTTTTGACCCTGTACGCACTGCTCACGAAAGCCAAACATTTGTCATGGCCGAAGATGATCACCGACGCTGCTGCAAAAAACGCAGATCCTGACAGTGGCTGCATCGTGAGTGTCAACCAAACCATTGATACCTTTCGAGCGGTCTTAGCCTTGCGAGTGGGTTCTGCTAGGAGCCTGTGACTGCGCAAGCTCGAAAGGGCGCTTCCTGCTCGGGTCCGAAGTTTGCCCGCTGCATACGTACCAGAAACCTCGCTGCTGGCTTTTTGCCTACAGATCCTCGGTCTTCGTGATACAAGCTGGCAATATTGTACGATATCTGGGGACCTGTGCGCTTCTGCCAATCTGGTCTCCAAGCTAGGTGTCGCACTCTGCTTCTTTCAATCTGCCCGCAGCGCCGCAGGCAGTAGCGGTGGGTACGAGAATGATCTGGCCAAGGCGCGAGACTCTCGAGGCTTGTTTCATCCTTCGGGTGGGCGCCCTCCATGCGCACTCACTCGGTCAAGACTTGCAAGAGCTACGAGTTCAGGTTTGCCAAGAACATGATTTGAGCGCATGGCTGCACTTTGAAAATTCCAAGGGCGGGCATCGTCTGCAACTCACCAGCTTCGCCGGAGCCAGAGCTGGATTTGGGAATGCCAAGCCCCGGAAGCTTCCTCTTAGAGGGAGCAGACTGACTCTGAGGACATGGGACTCCCTGAGAGTCTCAGTGGAAAAGTCCCCAGACTAGTTGCCGCAGTGGTGCTACTGCGAATGGACCTTCTCGAAGATTTACGTGGCTTCGGAACAGGCATGCGGAAGCAGAGAAAAACGTCGAGATCACCAGATGCGGTCCTGGTGACCTCCACAGTGCCGCTGATCAGAGCTATCTTCTTGGGACTGAAGCGCATCTCTATGTTGCTGAAGGACAATACCGTCCGATCCAATTCGCCCCTTTCCTCAACCTCTAAAATATCATTCCATAGCTTCTGGAATCCATCCGTCACATCCTCTGGGAAAATATT